TAAGCTACAAGTTAGGACTTTGCATGGATAAGAATTCATATTTCCACAGATTCTAAAGTTTTCAAAGCGCTTCCTCACAACAGTGCTGCAAGGAAGATTGGGCAGGCATTATCCCTATTTTTACAGATTGAGAAATGGAGGCTCAGAGAGGAATGGAAGAACTTATTCAAAGTCAGACAGCTAGCACATGGAGAGGTCTTCTGGCACTCCACTGCAGCTGACTCAATGACCCTTCTTCTCACTACCTTGTTTAGCCATAGTCTGATTGCAAACCACCACTCAGATGCCCTACCACATTTCATTCTCTCCTGCTCTGGTTTGTTCACACCCACTGCACATAGCCTTTAAAAGTTAGGCAACAGTGACATCTGGTGGCCAGACTCAGACAATGCAGTTTTCTCCTCAAAGTGACTACTTACATATTTTTAGGATTTGAAAGAAATACTGGGGCGAATCTTGATAAACCAATGGGGCAGTAAGTCCAAGCATATGGAAGAAGATTCATCTCACATCAGAAACCCCAGGTGCACTAAACTAAAATAAAGGCAGAGTTCCAATCAACCAATTTTTAAAAAGCATTAAACACTTAATAATCGATTAGCCACCTTTATTAAACAGTGACAAGTACCGTGCCAGGCACTGGAGATAGATACAAAGAATGAAACAATATCTACTCTCGACCTTACATTCTAACACAAGAAACATATAAATGCATATATGTATCTATATGTGTGTATACATGCACATACATATATACACACACACACACACACTAGGGGTGTAGATACTAACATATTCACATATATAGGGGGCTGTGTGTATATATGTCTATATATAGAGATATGCATGTGTCTATATGTGTATTGATGTATATGTGCACATACATACATAATGCACAGTTATAATACATATGTGCATTATGTGTCCTTGCTGGGGTGGGTGTATGTGTGTGTATGTGTGAGTGTGTGTGTGTGTGTGACCGTAGACCTCTCTTCTTACAGCCAAATGCTACACCTGCCCCTCAGAAGGCTAGGGTACCCCAAGGGTTTTGTTTTTGGTTTTCTTTTTTTGCTTATCTATTTTATCTTCCATAATCTAGTTTTTTTGGTCAAGAATGGTTAGCATGGACACCAAGTAGCATTGCTGGGATTTGAGCCCAGGTTTTCTGGCTCCAAATTCAGCACACTCTCCATAGCCACCAGTCCCTCCACCATCTTGGTTCATACTCTCATCACCAGGATAATTGCAACAACCCCTTGGTGATCCCTTCTTCCAGACTTTCCACCTATATCTCCCTAGTCAGAGCTGTGAACAGTAATTTCATTCTTTAATTATAGAGGGCATGTGGTGTTTTACATACAGGTTGAGGGTCCATCTGGAGCTTATTGTGATATGTGGTGTAAGATGGCGGTCCAAACATTTTCTGCATTGCTTACGTACAGTGATTCCCTGTGTATAGTAAGCAGCTTAAGGGACGTCACTGGGAATTCGGAAAAATGAAGTGGGCTATTCCTATGCTAAGAACAAGAAGACAGTCTTGGAACCCACAAAATATTTAAAACACAGCAGTCAGTCTATCTATAAATCCAGGTCACAGATCCAGAATGAGACTGAGAAACAGATTTAGACTTAGGATGGTGATCCAAGACAAGGAGCTGTCAGGGGCTCCCACCAAAACACATAATGTCCATCAGAAAAGGCAGGCACAAACTTACAGAAACCAAGTAGTGAGACACAAGTAAGGAAACCTGCACGTGCAGGACAACTCGCAGACCTGGATGTCCAGGTTTCTTTGGGAACTCAGATGTCAACTGTCACTCGCAGAACTGTCTGCACTTTAGAAATCTACCTAATTAAGCATTTATTCAGCACCTACTATATACCAGGCACTGTGTGCTAGATGCCAGGGTACAAAGGCATAAAACAACAGTCCCTTGGCCTCGAGGACCTTGCATTCTACCTGGCTTTGTTTCCTACACCTGGACTCTAGGAATTCTTTACAATCCTTTCTCACATGGATCAAAAACCACTGACTTGTCTATTTACCCTTCTAAAACCTGGAATACATATCTCACAATGCCCATTTCCTCGATTACTGCAGGCAGATAACCCTGTCTCCGATCAACAAATTCTCTCATGGGAAGTCTCTTCCTTTGCAATATGCTTGGTATACCTGATAACTACGGCATCAGGTAGGAAGTGAGTTCTATTTTTATTCATTTGCCAACTATTACCAAACACCCAAATAACACTGAATTTGGAGTCAGTGAACCCGGGTTTGTGACACACATTTGCTAATATATTCCCTGGGTTATTTTGGCAAGTCAACCTCTCTTCACCTTGTTATCACCATCTATAAAGAAATGGGGTTTGACTGGATTGGGGATTCTGCATCACAGACTTTAGTGTGCTGGCAAAGCCTAAGGTTGCCTGGGTTTGTGGCCTACATTCATAATTGAAGGAAACAATGCTAAATATAAGTTAGATGGGACTGAAAACATCCCCGCCAAGTTCATTAGACTTCTTCAAATCTATCTAAGACTAACCCTTGGGAATCTGTGGACCTCCAGGTTGCCTGAATCAGTGGTGTCAAACTCAAACAAGAATGGGGGCCACTAACGTGTACATAAGGATCCTGGTGGAACATTGACTTTGTTGTTCAATTGTCTAACTTTGTGAACCTATTTGGAGTTTTCTTGGCAAAGATACTATGCTGGAATGAATGGTTTGCCACTCCCTTCTCTAGCTCATTTTATCAATTAGGAAACTGAGGCAAACAGGGTTAAGTGACTTGCCTAGGGTCCTACAGCTAACAAGTGTTTGAAGCTGGACTTGAACTCTGGACTCCAGCCCTATCGATTGTGTCACCCAGCTGCCCCTCCCCCCTATGAATGGTAGGCAGGGAACCATGACAATTACACCACCACCAAATGAAGGCATTAAAAGTTAGATGAACTCAGTTTAATTTCAATGATTAATATTAGTTCTCCAGATAACAAAACATACTGCTCTTTCAACAGAGAGGGGGACAAGTTCTGAGTACTGAATTTTCCCAATCATTGCAAGTTTGTTTCATTGTTCATTGTGTCCAGCAATATGCAGCTTCACCATTTATCCGCTGACATTATCAACTTGTCACCTTATCAGACATTACGCTTTCAGCAATTCTGTTCCAATCCCTTGTTTTTCACGCTATGTTCTAGTGTTCCTTGATGAAGCAAATTTCTTATAAATTCTCCTATTCCTTTTCATCACCGGACTTATTCCAGGCACATTTAGGATTGTAATTTTGCTCTCCATTATGTGTATTTTCTCTTCCTTCTTTTAAATCCATCCATTGTTCTTTCCTGTTTGGTTTTGCCTGTCCTACTCTGATCTCAACCTCCTGAAACCTTGACTTCTTCCCCAGTACTTTATTTTTAAATTTTATTTTTATGACTTAAAATAAAAACATTCTTTCCTTCCAGTTAAGATTTTGGAATCTTCCCTGCCCAAGCCAACTGCTTCAAACATTCATTTGTGGGAACCCTTCTCTAAGGGATATTCATTTAATTCATTCTCTTCCTTACAACTTTACCATTTCTTTTACAGATTGACTTCACCCACACGTCCCTTCCCCAACTTTTATTTCTTCTGAAGTATTTATTTATTTTATGCAATTGGGGTTAAGTGACTTGCCCAGGGTCACACAGCCAGTAAGTGTCAAGTGTTTGGTCTGAGGTCACATTTGAACTCAGGTCCTCCTGACTTCAGGGCCAGTGCTCTATCCACTGCATTACCCAGCTGCCCCTGGAAGGATCTTCTAAAAGGCCTCACTCTCCTCCCACCCCACCCCTGCCCAAGAACAATATTAATTAATGAAATAGGCAGTATGGTACAGTAGGAGTTCTATATCAGCTAGTCCATGGGTCTGGTCCTTTCACTCACTCACCGTCCTTCCTGAAAAGATCTCATTTCTCTCTCTATAAGGAGGGCATTCTAGGACTAAGAAGTAGCAGGAACACAGGCAGGAGGAAGGGGGGGAAGGGGAGGCAAATATAAGATAAAACAAAGAATCGTTTGCTTAAACTAAAGGCAGAGTCAGAAAAATAGAGAGCAAATTTGAGAAAGACAGTAGTACAGACTGGTTGGAATCAACGTACATCAAGGGGATTAAGAGAGCTGGAAAGGTATAATGGAGCCAGATTATAGAGCCTCAAATGCCACATAAAGAACCCGTGCCTTAGTCCTGCAGACAATGGACAATCACTGAAAGTGCGAGCAGGAGAATAAGGTCAGTCCTACTTTAGTAAGATGAATCTGACAGTGGTATACAAGATAAATCAGGGGGTTGGGAGGAGTCACATCGGAGGCAAGAACACAAGTTAAGAAGTTATTACATCAAAATGATCAAAGTTGGTTCTAAAGGAGTTGAAAAAAAAGAATCTGGTTTTACTAAGGCTCTTTCCCCATCCTTCTCATAAAAAATTTTTTTAAACAAGAAACGGTTTGTGAGGTCGGGGAAGGAAAAGGAATATATTCAGAAATGACAGTGATTTTAAAACAAAAGATACACAAGAATGATTTTAAACAATTTTCAAAGTACTTGATTCTAAAATTTTTAAAAAGGAAAAGATCAAGGAATTATTACAATTCTTCTAATTACCCTCTAGATGTCCCTACTGGGACTTTTTTCTTTTTTTTTTTGCTTTTTGGTGAGACAACTGGGGTTAAGTGACTGCCCGGGGTCACACAGTTAGGAAGTGTTATATGTCTGAAAGATGGATTTGAACTCAGGTCCTCCTGACTCCAGGGCCAGTGCTCTATCCACTGCACCACCTAACTGCCCCTGCTGGGATTATTCTTAAAAGATCTGAGTGAAATCTGTTCTAGTTCAACCATGGAATAAAAAGTTATTTGAAAAGATTACAAACCCCTAAGAGATTTAGCTCTTCATGTAAGCCTTGCAGACTGCTAAATGAAGTTTGAAAAACTTAATTTCGAATTAAAAAAAAGACAGCTTGAAGGATTATTAATCTTTATTCAAGCACATTTTTTTTAAACAGTTCAATTTACTAAGTTAAAAAAAAATACACTTTAGTATATCTGCAACATGGACAGAGGTTAAGAAAGTGCACGTGACGCCTAAACATGACATATACAGAACTCACAACACTGAAACAAGGACTAGTCAGAGAGAAGAAGGAAACAATTCAAAATGTCTAGGTCAGATCTTTTCCATCTTTGAAATCAAGTCATCACAGATTTTCGTTAATTCATCGTTTTCTTTAGTCTACAAAGGAAGAAAAGAAAAGTAAATTAAAATTACAGCAGTCTGTACTAAGTGCTTTATGATTTGGACATGGTCATAACACAACGTAACCCTGTCCTTATACCCGAGTCGTCCAAGCCATAAAACACATCAAAAAAAAAAAATTCAACCACGAATTCTCCAAGTGAGGTAGGAATACACACACAGGCAAACTGGGAACAAATGACCTCTAAGAAATGGAAGTCTCAAAGGATGAAACTCAATCTCTAAGACAGAGTCCGCCATGGTAACATCAGCTCCTGTCATCTGCACAAGCCTGTGCTTTCCTCACAACCACGGCCCCCCCACCCCACCCCCACCATGTGGCCAGCCGGTCTTCTCACCTGTCTGTAGGGATGGACAGTCTGTTCTCCTTTGGTGGGGTACAGCAAGCCTGAAATCTGCTGCAAATGCTGCTCCTTGTATTAGCTCTCCCCCACCCAGGGGGGACAAAACAACCCCAGTTCCTTGCTCCAAGACAGCCCAGCCCTTCAAATGCTCAAGGACTCTTCTCCTACCCCCAACTTCCTCTTCAGTTTGTGACCCCTGGTTCAGTTTCCCTGCTCAGTCTCTCCTCCTACTAATCTCACCAGAAAAAATTATTCCTACCAGTCTGAAAAGGAGTTCTGCCAGAACAGGCAAAGGGCTACTTATCCTTGAAGGCAAGAAATGTTTTTCACTTTGGGTTTCTATATCCCAAACATTTAGCACAGTAGACCACATGGTGGATGCTTCATAAATGCTTGCTGACCTGGACTAAAGACGTCAAGACCATCCCCCTCATCTGGGCCACCTCCCAAGCTCTGCCCAACCCCACTCTCCGATTCAACAAGCATTTATCAGGTGCTTACTGTGTGGCTGGGCCCGTGTGAGACACAGAGACAAATGTCAAACACAGTCCCTGCCCTCCTCAAACCCTGGGCACCTCCCACCCCCCAGGCAGCCCTGAGGAAGTCACTTCATGCAGCCCAATTCTCAGCTTTCTAAGCAGGCAACTCTCAGAGCTGATATTTCAACTCGACACAAGCATCTGATTCTCGAAGGGCAAGTATCCTCCGAGAGGGAGCTTACTTTCTGTTCCAAGCTTTTCTCTAGTGACTGGACTCTCATTTGTTCCTTTCGTAAATTTGCTTGTAAAGCCAGAGTCTCAGCTTTCGCTTTGCTTCGAACCTGGGCGATTTCTTCATTTGCTCTATTGAATATAAAGAGTTTAATGTGTAGGTGACCTGAGGATCCCAGGCTCTCTACCCTGGGCCTCCCCCCAAATTCCCAGTGCTCCAGCACTTACAGGTTTAACTTCTCTTCTGCATGAGCCTTCAGGGCTTGGTACCTCCGCTCTTCCTTTTCAATTCTTACTAGATAATCTTCAACACATTTCTTCAAAGCTTCTTCATTCTAAAAGGAACAAAAAAGTTCACGGACCAGTTTATACAGAGTGAAGACCATCTGCCTAAAGGCACTCCTGTAACTCTATGGGAAGAGGAAAAAAAAGAAGCAAGCAACACCGACTGAGGAGTGAGTTCTCATCTCAAAGCAGGGGCCGGAGGTGACTTCAGAAGCCACAGACGTTCGGCCTCATCCTCTCAAAGGAGAAGCACAGATAAGGCATAAAAGCCAAAAAGGAAAGGCTCTGTAGGAACAAGATGTCCTACCACCAGCTTCGTCTTTTGGAGGAGCTGCCAGCCTCCCAGAACTGCCTAAGTTCTTCAGCAAGTGACTTCCCTTCTACGCAACCCCAGAGGATAGCAAGAGACAGCCAGGGTCCATCTAGCTCTACGTTTCTGTGCCTTGCTAACATGCCTTCTCTACTTCCCATTAGAACAGGAGAGGGTACAGGATAAGCTTTCTACTAATGAATAACCTATAAATGTAAACAATATGCAAAACAATGTTTTTACTTAAATCAAATATTGGAACACCTATACTATAAAAGGGAGCATATCTTTACTAAAGGGAAAGGCCTCCCTAGAGTCACTGATCAATATTTTACGGAAAGTTTCTGCCAATCTCGCCAATCTACTTCAGGATTCTGCTAGCCCAGAGATCAATCCTAGGACAATCCCATTTTAAATAAACCCAGAATCACTAGGCTCAGAAAATAGGACAAAGGAGGAGGATCAATCTACCAGCTTTCTGATGACAGATAAGCATAAAATTCTACATTTGTTCTATTTTAGGTTAGCCACACCTTCCGATAGCCTTCTAAAACCTCCTTCTGTTTTTCTAGTCGTTTGAAGAGGTCAGAGAAAGACTTTTCCATGGAGTTCAGGTCTGCTGTGATTTGCTGTTTTTCTGACAAAATCGTCTGGATTTCAGCCGCTGCAGCCTCCTTCTGCTTCTGAGCATCCGCTACAGAATATAAACATTGATCATCTTATTTGCAGTCAAATAAGTTATTTCATTGAAAAATCCACTGTGAATAAGTTTCATCATAAATCTGAGAAGCTAATAAGCTCAAACACAAATCACATTAAAACAAATGTAAAATAAGGGCTGTGACATGATACATCTCTTCAAAATGCACTCATGCCTCACTGTGATTTGGAGAACACATGCTGGCAAAGGCTCTGCCCAGGTGCCAGACTTCCAAGTACATTCAGTCCAAACAACAGACTGCACCTGCTGAGGACAGCCCAGTTCCACAGGGTGGCGCTCATAACAAACACGTTGGCCACCCACAAAACAAAGAAAAATACAAAATGATGCTTAATTCTCAATGCGGTCCCACTTTCCAGGGGCTTTAGACCATCCACAAATACTTAATTACTGACACTTTAAGTCTGAGTGCTTTATTCAATGAGTTTATAAGCTACTGGAAAAACTGAACCATATTAACTTTCTTGCTATAATCAAACTAGAAGACAGAACAAAATCGTGGCTAAGTAAATGAAAGGAGGATTTACTGAATTTCCTTCAAGGGGAGAATAAAGGAGGTGATTTCATCATATGCCAAAAAACAACAAGAAACATCATTTGAGAGGGTTCTTTCTCATTACATCTTCTTGGAGCGCTCATGATGAGCATAAGCAGAAAAGATTACATATTACGTGTCAACCTCTATTTAATTAATGAAGTACAGAGATTCTACAAAGAATAATAATAGCTAACATTTATAAAGCGCCTACTACGTGCCAGGTACTGTGCTAAGCACTTTACCAACATTATCTCATTTGATCCTCACAACCACCCTGGGAGAGAGATGCAATTATTATCCTCATTTTTACAGATGAGGAAATTGAGGCAAACAGGTTAAGTGACTTGCCCAGGACCGCACAGCCCCTGACTCCAGGCCCAGAGAATTTCACAATCCTCCAAACCAAGCCAACATGTATCTTGATACTCTGTGACTTCAATGTAAAGATGGACACAGGAGTGAACGGTGAAAAATGTTAAAAAAAAAAAAAAAAGTCTGGAATTTAAGAAATGCAAAAATCCAAAGGCTTAGGGACCACACAAAAGCCTCATTCATGAAAACTTTCTTTAAAAAAGAAAGTCAGAGAGCACCGAAATGGAAAGTAACAAATGTTACCAAACAAATGAAGTTGACTATTAAGTATCTTAATAGGAAGTAATCGGCTACTGCTGTGGAAATTATTTCAGAATCAGTTATCTGTGCAGTCAGACCATTGTTTGGAACTAATGTAAAAGCCACCAAACTAAAAGAAACGATAAAGAAGGGAAAGCAACATCGTATCCAATTATAAGATATATCCAATAGGCTGCTGACTGCAAAACAGGCCTGATAAAAACGATCACCACCATTTCCCAGAAAAGTTTAACAGTCACAATTAAGAGGTTGAAAGAACGTTAAAAAGTGCCATAAAAAAGACCATGCGGTCTCCAACCAAACACTTGACACTTGCTAGCTGTGTGACCCTGGGCAAGTCACTTAACCCCAATTGTCTAAAAAAAAAAAATTAATTTGAAAAAAGACCATGACTTCACAACCCAGTGCTTGGTCTAAGAAGAGACCCAGTGAGAGATTGCGGGCTGCCCTCCAAAAGCCACCAGAGGTGAACAAAGGGGTTGCTCCTGATCCTCATCTACTTCATCCTGATCAAAGCTCAGGGAGTTCTATATTTCCTTGACCCCAAAAAGCCCACCGTCGGTGACTGGGGACATGAGAACTCCTCACACTTGGCCCCATGGGTGGGAGATCTTCTAACAGTGCTTGCCCATAACCTAGCCGCCCCACATAAGAAAAGACACATGTGCTAAAGGTTGAGAAATTCTTCTATCCCTTATATCCTCAAAACTGCTCTGACTCTCTGAAAAGCAGAGGGAACTTGCCATTTCCTTCCCGTCCCAACAAGACCACAGGGACAATGTGACAGATGCCCTCTTCTACCTCTTAGCCAGTCCAAAGCCTCACAACTGGTCAAGCAAATCCAGCCCACACCTTGGGTACTTTTATTACATCTATGCCTAAACAAAAAAATGAGTAGGAAATAAAACTTGCAACTCACTAAAGAACTTTTTTCCCCCAAAATCCAAGTCAGAACATTAATAATAGTATAGAAGTTAAAAAGGAAAAATTAAAAAGATTATAAACATGCTAAAATAATTGACAGATCATGGTATAATGAATAGATCACTAGACTTGGATTCAGGAAAACCTGGGTTTGCGTATGACCTCAATTAGTAGCCATGTGACTTCTCTTGGCCTCAAATTCCTTATCTGTAAAATGAGGCGGTTGGAATCAATGACTTGTAAATATATGATTTGATGAATGAAAGCACCAAAAGAGGTTAAAAAAAAGAAGAAATAAAATGACAACCAGGCAAATGGCTCAACTGCATCCAAAGTCTAAATACCTAGGGAAATTACACATAACAATTCAACAAAATCACCCACAGATCAATACACAAGAAACAAAAGAATAACCCCAAGTAGCAACAGTTTTGGAAAAGCAAAGAATGGTTGTGCAGATTTGGGAATACAAGCAGATTAATTGAAAGCCCAGAACTGAAAAAGAAATAGCCAGACAGCATCTGAGAATCTAAAGAGAACCTGCAGTAAATGAGGTAATAGTCTACAAACAGAGACACTACAAAGGACACCAGGAATAGAAGCGCTAACTTTCTTTCACCAAGGCATATAATCATAAAAACTATAGAATTGTTTTTAAAAATTCTTCAAACATTATGAAAAAAATTCACATAAAGAAATAGCAAAGTATCATCATGCTTTTCAAAATTAGAGGAAAATCATAGTTGGACAAAATACATATTCTTTAAAAATAAAAAAAGATTAGATCTTAAAATTACATTCCCTATTCGAAAAATAAAAGAATTCACTTCAAAGATATAACTTGCAAGAATCTAGCAACAAAAATCCACAAATTAGTGAGGTCCTTTCAAGCAAGAGAAGAGGAAATCCAAACTCTCTAAATGACAAGTAATTAAGAACAATGAAAAATTCTTAATGCCTATTACTTTTGGTTGAGATTTAACATATGTGGATTAAGGTATACAATCTTCAAACCATAACAGACATAGATGAAGTGCCACCTAAAATGTTGATCCATGTTTGTTTCTGAAAACCACTCCCTGATGCTACCCACGGGAGGCAAGCACTGATGATAGTCTTTCAATGAGACCTGAATACAGGCATACTCTGCTTAACACTGTATGTGGAAAATGCAGAAGCAGTTCTCTAGAACCAACATTATAAATAGTTATAAACATTATAAATATTGTTAAATAAACATGTTCTTGAATAAATAATATTTGATCTTCAACGGAAATGGGTATAAAGAATTTGTGTTCAGACTATAAAGCATTAAAAATAAATTTCTAGAGATACTTTTAACTAAAATAGGTCTAGGCAAGGTTTTTTTTAGCTATATGAAAGAATCAAGGCCAACAGAATGGGGGGAAGGTGTTGGAGGACAGCTGGCTCAAAAACAAAAGACAAAGAATCCAGTAACATCCTGTTCCCATATCGAGATGCCAAACAGAAACTCAAAACTAGAAGGGACCTGCAACCAAGATTAGAATGGAAGCAGAACATCACTAATGTGAAAATGTTTAATAGGAATATATATATGTATAGCCTATATCAGAATGTGCGCCATCTTCAAGAGGGAGGTGGGGAGGAAGGGGTAGAAAAATTTAAAACTCAAAAGTTTATGGAAGTGATTGCTGATAATTCAAAATAAATTAATTAAAAATTAAAATTAAAAAACAAAAAAAAAATTTAAATTAAGAAAAAGGGAAGCAGAAAGCCAGGAAACAATTTTTGCAGCCAGTGTCTCTGATAAAGGCCTCATTTCTAAAATATGTAGAGAACTATCAAGAATACAAATCATTCTCCAACTGATAAATGGTCAAAGGATGTGAACAGGCAGTTTTCAGACGAAGAAATTAAAGCTATAGTTACATGAAAAAATGTTCTAAATCACTATTCATTAGAGAAAGGCATATCAAAACAACTCTGAGGTACCACATCACACCTATCAGATTGGCCAACATGACAAAACAAGAAAATGATAAATGTTGGAGAAGATGTGGGAAAATTGGAACACTAATACATTGTTGGTGGAGTTGCGAAATGATCCAACCATTTTGGAAAGCAATTTGGAACTATACCCAAAGGGCTATAAAAATGTGCACCCTTTGACCCAGCAATAGCACTTCTAGGGCTATATCCCAAAGAGATCATACAAATGGGAAAAGGACCCACGTGTACAAAAATATTTATAGCAGCTCTTTTTGTGGTGACAAAGAATGGGAAATTGAGAAGATGCCCATCAATTGGGGAATGGCTGAACAATTTGTGGTATATGAATGTAATGGAATATTATTGTGCGATAAGAAATGATAAGCAAGTGAATTTCAGAAAAACCTGGAAAGACTTGTATGGACTGATGCTGAGCGAAATGAGCAGAACCAGGAGAACATTGTACACACTAACAGCCACATTGTGCAATGACTAACTTTCATAGACTTGGCTCTTCTTGACAATGCAAGGATCTAAGACACCAAAAGACTCATGATGGAAAATGTTACCCACATCCAGAGAAAGAACTATGGAGTCTGAATGCAGATCAAAAAGCATACTATTTTCTTTTTTTTTTCCCCTCTTTTTTCTGATTCTTCCTTCACAACATGACTAATGTGGAAAGATGTCTAACAGGATTATACATATATAGCCTACATCAGATTATATGCCATCTTGGGGAGGGAGGAAGGGGTGAAAGAAGAAAAAATCTGGAACTTGAAATCTTATAAAAGTGAATGTTGTGGGGCAGCGAGTGCAGTGGATAGAGCACTAGCCCTGGAGTCAGGAGGACCTGAGTTCAAATCTGGCCTCAGACACTTAACACTTACTAGCTGTGTGATCCTGGACAAGTCACTTAAAACCATTGCCTAGCAAAAACAAAACAAAACAAAAAAAAAAGCGAATGCTGAAAACCATCTTTACATGTGATTGGAAAAAATAAAATACTATTAAGTGGGAAAAAAACCTAAAAGGGACCTCCCAAAGCATCCCAGTGTGTCAGCATTTCAGAGCCAAAATCATGGTTAGAATTTTACCCCAGTAGAAAATCTGACCAAGGAAAGGAAATTTAAAGGGCTCTGACAGCAGTTACATTTTAATGAAGAAAATAAGGATGGCATCTGGAGGCAGGGTGGACTCATGATGGAGGTGGGGAAGAGGAACAGATGAGGGGACAACAACCCCCTCCACCCATCTGCACTCTTGGAAAGGCTGATGCTCAGCCCTCTTTTTGCCAGTGAGTGACTGATGTAGGGAGTGAGCTCCTGGCTTGGGAATCTCTTTACCAAGGAATATCAGCACCTTCTCAAGTGCCTGGAGCTCTGAGGCTAAAGGACTGGCCTGGACTCCCACAGCCAGTATGTGGCAGGAACAGCAGCTAAACTCCCAGATGCTTTTGACTCCACAGTCAGCCTCTATCCATCACACCATACTGCCACTTATATTTACACTACTAACATAAAAGGAAATGTTAATATTCTGGTGGATTGATTCAAACCATATTGGTTTTACCCCTGGAAAACATTCCAGTGGCTCGATGCCCATTCTTTGCAATCCCCCTGTGTGCCCTTAGGCTTCTCTGGGTCTCAGGCTCCTTCTCTTACATGTGAGAGGCTGCACAAAGCTCAAGTCCTATCAGGCTCTAAATCCCATGATTCGTTATTTCAAAGTTTGCACTACACTGACTTACCCATCAGTTGAGTTATTATCCCTTCATATTCTTCCACAATTTTCCTATAGGATTACAAAATGGAAAAGATGAATGAGAAACTATAAGAACACGTTAAGGGAGCTCAAAAATACAGAGTCTTAACAGATACATACCCCATTGCTAAATATTCCGTGTGGAATGTTTCATATTTGTCTTCCAATTCTTGAATTTTCAATTGTTTCTTTTTAACCTACACATACAAACAAATTACAAACTTAAGACTCCAGTGAACTATGTAGTATAGGCCTTACTATAGGCAGAGTACTTCAATTAGAATGCATGAAGGAAAAATAATAATATACACAAGACTATTAACAATGTAAACTTCAAATCTAATCAACTGAAAAACTTTTAATTGATCAGTTAAATAAGATAGCTGATCAAATAAATAAGATCAATTTAAAAATCTGAACTTCGAGTAAATGGAAAACCATTTTGGTTTCAGAGAACAAATAACAAATGCCACATATCTGACTCCTCAAGGCAAAGAGGCAGCAAGGTAACACCAGGACCAAATGCTATGCATACTGTATGGGACGGCTCTGATTGGTTTCCTTTGTTATAAAGAGCAGTTCAGTATGGAAGAGAGGGCAGCAAGTTTTTCCTAGAAAAAACTTAAATCTTAAGACATTTTTCCCAATGAAGAGTTCTAGGAAGTAGACATAAAAGCCATGGGCTGCCACTGTGGAGAACCTTGCATGACATAGCCAAAAGAAGTCCGACATCCGCTCTGGAGGGAACTTAGATTTCTGAGCAAAGAAATGTCATGACCAAATTTAGGTACAGGAGAGATGATTCTGGCAGCAGAACAAGGAAGCAGTATAAGGAAGACGTTATCCTTGGTTAAACAGGGAACTGTGACTGCGATCGGGACTGTGGAAGAGGGAATGAAGAGATGATACCAAGACAACTCACTGGATGAGAGGAAAAAGAAGAAAGAGTCAAGGATAACTCCCAGGTCATGGGCCTGGTACACACAACTAGACGTACACAGTAAGTGCTTCATGAATGTTCATGGGCACAGTTGACATTCCTTTCTTTATATACATTCAAATGAAACTTTTATTAAGGGACAATTAACAAGGAGGTGTAGCATGATAATCCTTTTGCTGTTCTGTATTGTGTCAGTTTTCCTGAAGTTCACAGATGTTTGAATAAAAACTAATTTAAACTAAGACGGAGTCTTTATAGCAGTATTTGGTGAATGAAGTTAGGTGGAAGAAAAGAACTGATTATTTCATCCTTTTGACCATCATACTTGAGAAAGCAAGGAAAAGCAAACCTAAAGGACAGGGGTTAATGTTTTTTCTTCAGAACTCAAATTTAAAAAAAAAAAAGGGAGGAGGAGGTTAAAAATAAAAATATTTTGGAATTTATTTTAAATGCTTTTTCATTCATTCAATGCAGGGACACCGATAAAACAAGGTACTTTTGAGTTAGAAAAACAAGCCATTTTGACCAGTACTCTTATTAAAATGGGTATTGTATTTATCTTGACTTGTATAAAATGTAAAATAGGTCCAAGGCTATAAGACTTTTTAAATATTCATTTTCCTTGTCCTGAATGTTTGAGATCTCATAATCAAGTTCTTCCCCCAACTCCACCCTCCCACCCACCCTCAAATAAATATATTTCAAATGTATTTCAAAAATGTGATTCTTAAAAATATCTTTGTTCCTAGGCTAGGAACAGATATTCATGCAATTTATAAAAAGCTTGCTAGAGGAAGAAACAGAACATTTTAAGTAAAAAATGTGAAACTAGTAAGTAAACAATCTATAGATTCCATAGTTGTTTGTTATCAACTTAATTCCTTACTCATACAACTAAAAGTTAGCTAGAGTTAAAACTATCGGACATATCTAGAAAGAAATACTAGAACCTTAAAGGTAATTAAGTCATTTCATCTTACTTCTTGTTTGACTTTTTCTACAGCCACATCCATGTCTTTCTGGCTATACTTCAACACATCTATAATCGCATCGACTGAAACAGGCAAATCTGTGGCTGTCACAGGAACACCCAAATATTCTGGTCCATCAGGAGGAGGAGGTCCTATTACCTGTGGAAAAATATGTAACACAAACTGTCAGGGAGGGAAATGAGAAATTGAGGGAGCTAAATGAACAAAAAACCACATGGGACAATCATTTTCTCATCTATCAACCATATGTTGTCAAAGTCTAGACTACCTTTTAAAAATTTTTCCTCCAGGGGCAACTAGGTGGTACATAGATAGAGCTCCGCCTTGGAGTCAGGAGGACCTGAGTTCAAATCAGACCTCAGACACTTGACACTTTCTGGCTGTGTGACCCTGGGCAAGTCATGTAACCCTGATTGCCTCACCCCCAAAAAAAAGTGCAAAAATTTTTCCTCAGTTGTCACTTGAAAACTCAAGTCTATTTGCTTTGGCCTGAAATCTGTACTTCAGAATAAAAAGACAAATTTCTTCACAGGAGGAAAAAGTCTTCCAACTTCAGAGTTCAAAGCAAAACTTAGCCCCTTAACCCACAAAACAAAGAAGAGCTAGTGTCAAAGTGAGCTTTCATTTACTCACTCACTACAGTAGAGGACCCCAAACCTAACAATTTTAACTGTATTTCATTTCTTTTTCCTTCTGATCTCCTAGTCCCTAAACTGTCACTAATAACTAAAAGAAACAAAAATGAGTGGTTTCAGCAGTTTTCCTTATCCTTCCAAACTCTCAACCAAAGTGCCAAGGCGTATAGGATCAGAAAAAATAGTTCTAATCCTTTACAGGTCTCTAATCTTACCTAATACAAGAATAAAATAAGCAACTGCCCAGATCCCAAAACACCCCCACTAAAGAGTAACTCAACAGCAAGGAGATGATGGGCCTCTAATGCAGATTCTAGATGACTCTTTCAGGTTAGAAATCCAGGACTGGGAACTAGAAAGGACCTTAAAGAACTAGTCAAACTCCCTCATTTTACATGCAAGGAGAATGTAATGACTTGCCCAAGGTCAAAGTTACTAAGAAGCAGAGCTGGGATGCAAACCTAATATTCTGGGTACGTTTCCAGTGTCCTGTGATACCAAACTGCCACACAAGGACTGGACAAAAGCATTCTAAAGCAAAGATTTTTATTGTTTACCAGTGCTTCATAATGGTGACAGGGAATGGTATCACACACTAAGAGTCTGTTTTTGAACAGTATTCCTGAAAATGCAATTATTAAAAATATCCTTAGATATCAATCTGGCTTTCTTGACATGCCTAATTCAAACATTTCTCATTGGTTTTCAGTAATTAACAGTAAAAGTCACCAAGCAAAACATTAACCTTCAATCAGAATATAGTTTTTTCTCCTCCTTTAAAAATTTTACTGTAGGTGCTAAAAAAATCTAGTCCAAATGCCTCAAAATAAGAGGAAAGAGACACAGGAAATATATTCCTCCTTCCCCCAAGGACAAATTAACACAGTTAACTAATGGTAGAAATCAAGCCTCCTGAATTTTTTAAAAAAAATAAACAACTACTTACAGGAATATTAAATGTTCCTAGGAAGTCAAATTCATCAAGTTTTGCATCATGTTGATTTTTCTGAGAATGCTTGCTTATGTCCAGAAGGCTTTAGAAAAAAGGAATTTGCTTTTTTAGATTTAATTCACTTCTAATTAGGACCCCAATGCTCACAAATATGGCAGTATTTCACACTCTCAAATAAACCAGTGATGTTCTCTGGGCAGGTCCTCCCTCCCCCAATGTAGCCTACAACTCTATGACTTAGTAGGGCTTCAAGAATGGCTTGCTCTGGTTGAAAGAAAACAAAACCCCTAGTTACTCCGCGTCTGTAGGCAGACAGTCTTAGGCGGGACGATCCCTCTCTCCACCCCCCACCCCCCAAGCTCAAATGCCTGCCATGATCAAGGACCAACCTCCACACCAACACACAGCATCTAAGTAAGACTTTAAAGGAAGAAGTAGAGCTCTAATCATAAAATCTTGAGGGTTATCTAAATTTTCTAGTCAAGTTAACAATTTTCACCTTCAAAGCTCTAATAGAACTCTAATTAGCAGGAAACACTGTCAGTTGGCTCCCTCCCTTTCCAGCCAGCCCCCCAAAGGCCTCAGGGCTAGAGAGGAAGGCCATGCCCTCTCCTCCAGCCCAGGTACACCTGGACTCATGCTGTCTTTTGCATGACACTACAGCCTCCAACTGTTTCCTCCAAGCAGAAAAAAATTCCTAATTGTAGCTCTGACCCCAACACGTGGGAGAGTACCTTGGGCCACCAAAAGCATGAGTTTGTTGAAATAAACACCCAGAAAAAGAATATCGTCTCACCTATTTGTTATTTCAGTAGTTACAGGAGCCGGTTTGTTAGGGCTGTCTTTCAGTAGTGGGTCAAACTTAAGATATAAGGACTGTTTTCTCAAGGCAGATTCCTTAAACTAAGGAGAAAAAAGAAAAGACCCCCAAAATTAGTTAAACTACTGTACACAATCCAATCATCTCACAGATGATTTTGGTTTAGGACTTGCAATCAGAAATAGAAATATCCCTATATCAAATCATGTGTTTAAATTATATCAGATTCCAATTTTTAGTAGAATTATTATATACTTACTGAAGACATTCCAAATTGTTCCAAATAGTCAATTTCTATACCCGTACCTAAAACTGAAGAATAAATTCACCAATAAAGTATTTCAAATGACATTACACTTTCAAGATTGCCCTCTGCCCCAACCTCTACCAACACCCAAAACACCAAATAAATTCCAGACACATCCTAAAATTTAATTCAGAGCTAAAAAGAAAACTTACAGACAAGTGCCTATTACACTAGGCATATATAAATTATCTGTTAATTCTCCCAACTCAAATACCTAGGCAAAGATCTCTAGAAACTACATTAGGAAACAAAACCTAAGAGACTGAAATAATTAATACTAATGTGCAAAAGATGGCTGACATATAACCAAAATATATTAGCACTTGCAGAATTAAATAGAGGATCACAGATTTAGAGCAGGAGGGAGCCTGAGATGTCATTTAGTTCAACCTCCTCCTTTAACAGATGAGAAAACTATGGCCTAGCTAAATGACTTGCCCAAGGTCACACAGTATATAATAAATGGCAGAACAGGATTCACACCCAGCATGCTCTCCACTCCATCATGCTGACATTTAGCCTTCTTATTTATTCATATGTTCAAATATTTTTCTATAAAGAAATATTAAGATTAGATATTAAGTCTTTAAATTCATATTATGAGTAGCAGTGGATATTAAAAACATTTAATCAGACTAGTCTTTATAAAAATAAAAAGAAATTATAATTCTAATCAAGATAGCCCTTATTTTTTGTAGATCTCCATCTAATATCTTGCCCTCTTATCCACTCTTTGAAAACCCTGAACATAGGCTGAATTAGCATTGTCTTCCAATGCCTAAAAGATATTTACTGGCTCAAAAACAAAAGCAGTAAAAACAAAAGGCAGGAAAGGATGAACAATATACAGTACAAAGGGTACATGCTTGGGGAGGGGTTTAAAAGTGTATGTTATAATCATTACTTTACAATTACTTTCCCCAAGACTTACATGAACTGATGCTGAGTGAAATGAGCAGAACCAGGAGAATACTGCACACAGTAACAGCCACATTGTGCGATGACTGACTTTGATAGACTCAGCCCTTCTCAGCAGTGCAAGGCTCTAAGATATCTCCAAAAGACTCACAATGGAAAAAGCTATCCACATCCAGAAAAAGAACTATGAAACCGCAATGCAGATTGAAGCATACTATTTGCTCTCCTTTTCTTTTGTTGTTTTGTTTTGATTCTTCATTCTCATGGTTCCTCCCATTGGTTCTAATTCTTCTTCACAACATGATTAATGTGAAAATATGCTCAATATGAACGTATAAGTAGAGCCTATATCAGACTGCACGCCATCTTGGGAAGTGAGGAGGAGTAGGAGAAAATTTAAAACTCAAAATCTTATGGAAGTAAATGTTGAAAACTACAAATTAAAAAATTGTTTTTTTTAAATTACTTTCCCCAAATAAATTGTGGGGAAATTTGGTTACTAAATATATATAGGTCTACCAAATAGTACTAATGTTGCTGGCATCATTATCTTTACATGTTGCGGTAATAAGCCCCACTCTGGTCAGATCTGTACAGTTTGGGTACAATGACAAAAATCTGTGAAATTTTGTATTCAAACTTTCATCTCTAATCAATCTCTTAGCCTTTCCTCCTTTGTTTTACTCTCCCTATTCTTTGTCCTCAAGGCCATCCCCGAGTGCCCTCTTTACCCCTTCTCCATCTTTACTCCTCCTTGCCTCTGGTCTGCGGTGAAGAGGTGGACCTTGTAACTGCCAAGTCTAGCTTTCCTATCATGTCCTCACTCCTGTCATCTCCAGCCTACTTCAAGAACTTGTCCTACTTATCTACTACCTACAGACCTCTGCTCAAGTCTCCAACATCCTTAATTTAAAAAACAATTCCTAAGAAGAGTTATTGGGGCAGGACCTCTATTTCACCATTTCCTCTTCAATCCCTCGAAACTTAGATTCTAATCCTATCACCTTAAAAATCAAGCAAGCAAAAAAAATAAAAGTAAAAATAAATCAAGCAAGCACCAACTAACTGCCAGGCACTAGGGATAAAAAGATAGGAATGATTCTGTCCCTGCCCGAAAAGAAAGATCAATAATAGAACACAGGCACACCGATGCACTGTGAAATCATGAATTGGTCCACTTTTTCTGGAAAACCACTTAAAACTACATGGGAAAAATAAGTGTCAAACTGTTTGTACCCTTTAACTCAGCAATTGCACTCCTGGATATGTGACCCAAAAGGATCAGAACCAGACCATGCCCACAAGCTGGCTCTAGCATACCTTTCCAGCCATACCCCAACTCTATGCTATGCTTGCTGCATCCCACCTGTACCCATCTGCCCAAGCCATCCTCCACCACCCTGAAAATATATCCCCTCTTCAACCCTTTTCTTTTGACAACCCTCAAATTCCCCTAAAGGTTAATGTTCTCCCCTTGGTCAAAGTACCTAGCACTACTAATCTTAGTGCATGCCGCATTCCCTCCTGGAGGACAGACAGCCTGCATTTTTGCCTGTTTTCTCAGTGCCTGGCACAGGCAGTACTTAATAAATGTTGTTGGTTGATTGATATTGATAAGTTTGAAAGCAAGCATTCTTAGATAAGACTCAAGATGAACTCATTTTTAAGGTAAATGGGATGTTTCCTAGAAGGCCGCTTACCTTGTGAAGGAGACCTGAAGTCCTCTTCAGATACGGCAGTTTCTATCTTGACATCTGAGTCCAATTCACTCTTCTGGGGGAGCTCAGAGTCTGTGGTTAATGGTGGACTAACATGACTGCTTGTGTCAACTGACGTACCTGAAGAATTCTCTCTTTTCTCCTAAAAATAGTTTCAGAGTTAAATCTTGGTCCTACAGAACCAAACATCATGTGACAATTGTGTGCTCTCTCTAAAAACTTAAACAGTAACTTAAACATTAATTGAAGGCCTTTACCATACAAGTACAAAGAATGGAAATGATTCTTGTTCCCGACAAGCATACGATTACACAGACCCTGTGTGCTGAAAAAGGTTCTGAGAAGAAGTTATTTCCTTTCCCAACCAAAAATCTCCCAAACATCTGGGAGGCTACATGTAAAGAATTCACATTCTTTCCCTTCAGGCACTGCTTCTCAAAACTTCCTCTTGAAATATAGACAAAACTGGGAGGGGAAACAGTTCTTGTAATTAACTTAACACTGGATTCTGTGGTCCCAACAAGCTGGCCTGCTTTATGGTCCTCCCACACTCCAGATGCCATCTCCTACCCACACTGTGGGCAGGCTGTCCCTCAGGCCCAAACAGAAGCACACCTAGTTTCCTTCAACTTTTTGTTCAAAGCACCTCCTACTTAAGACCTTTTCTGGTCCCTACCAGCTGCCAGTGCTTCCCTACAAAAAGGGATCTTGTATCTATTCTATAGACACCTGCACGAGCTCAGTTCCATACCTCTCACCCCAAAAGACAATGTGATAAAACCTTCAAGGGCATGAAATATTTCATTTTTAACTTTGAATCCTCATTTCCTAGTAAAGTTCCTGGAAGAAAGTAAATGCTCTAAATGCCTGCTAATTCTGACTTAAATTAGTTCTAAATATTTTCCTTCCATGGTAGTAAGCAGAGAGAGTACCATAGAGGACATGGGATTTTTCAGTTGTACATCTGGGGGGAAAAAATTAAAAATAAAATTTGCAATACTAATCAGTAAGGAAGGCAACAAATGGCACTTTATGTTTGGAGCTACCCCAGATTTAAGTAAAGGTTCATGCTGCCTGAATTAGGGGAAATGACATAGGTGGAAGATAGCTTGCTGGATAACTGCTAAAGTAATTTTTAAAATACTTACATAAGCTTAGAGTCTAAAGCCTTTCTGTAGACTGATGCTAATTTGTAATTATGATAATGAAAGCCTACAGGTCTATACTGAGGCAACAGTATGAGTAAAAATTTTATTAAATAAAAATAAAATATAGATGATATAAATCCATTAATCCTACAAACAATATTTAAGCTCTTAAGGATTCACAAAACAGTAACTTCATCTGTTCACACATTTTTAAAAGTTCTCATTTCCAAAAGAAATGACAGAACAGAGAAAAAAAACTTTTTCAATTGGTTGAAAAAAAAGAAATAAACTTCTTGATGATCAAACATTGATCCTGAACATTCTATCAAGGAGATATATATAAACAATATCTGAGACAGAGTGAGGGTGGAGGTAAAGGGGATATGGAAGGCAGCAGAAGCACAGCGTACTTATACACTCCAACATACATACACAGACACACACACATGCATATATTATATATGCCACCCATGTGTGTATATATGCATTTGTATGAAACATAATGCTATATCTAAACATAAAGATCCCATTACATATAATAAGCCACATATTATATCGCTACACAATTGCACTATATAGTACTGGGTGTCAGAGATCATCTGCCTCTACCTGTCAACAGGAATGAAAAGATATCCCTTAGACCAGATGAATAAACTCAATACTCCCAATTAAGGACACAGAGTGGAGGACAACCTTTGTAGTCCCTCTATCTTACTACAATGAAATACACCATACCTGATCCCCTGCTATCAAAGTTTCTGTTCCTACTGGAAGCACGGATTCAGCTGCAGCGATAGGGGTAATAACCTGCCTGAAGACAATATAACAAGTTTAAAATGAAGTCAATAAAGATTTAAAATTGACCACACAAGCCTGGAATATGCTAGTAGAAGTTTGATTATACTTATATCAATCTAGGCTAGACACTCAAAGACAAAGGGAGACCGGGCTTGACAGGCACAATAAAAGTTACAGGTGTAACAGTAAAAAAATTCTGATGTCACCTCTCATACTAGACTTTTAGTAAATGAGCATTTTTAATCAGACCACAGAAAATAGACTTGTGGCAAAAAAAAAAAAAGAGTATAACAATTCTAATCACAGTATGAAATATCAACAATGATAGAAATATAGTAGGCCTAACATTCATTCACAATAGGTTACTAATCAGAAATTTAGTAAGTTTTCGATCTATATTAAAGAATCATACTTATGTAAAAATGCCACTAGATTCTAATGGTATATTCTCCAAAGCAGAATAATTAAAATGCCAAAATCAGCTCACAGGTCAAGTCTTTTTCCTCCCTCAACAGTCAATTTTAACTCTCAATAACAAATTAAGCTCTAGCCTTCCTGTTAGAAGGGAAATGAAGTTTGCTATTTTTAGAGAGACAAGTTCAGAATTTGATTAACATATTAAATAAATTTTATAAACTACAAACAAAATTTTAATAATAACATGAAATTCTTATAGAAATCTCAAGATTCTGATAATACAGCAGGCAGCCCACCCATTAAGGAACTTTACTTACTGACTTCTAGGTAAGTCATCAATAACAGTCACACTATTCTGCTCTTCCCTGGAAAGACAGTCCTTCTGTGCTACGTGATTCTCTTGAAGCTGAGTGGTTTCATTACTAGATTTCTGGTGATCAAAAGTAGAAGGCTTAGATTTTTTTCCAAAGGGGTTAAAGTCTAGATCATTAAGCTTGTCCCAATCTAAATTATAAGATCCCTTTGGAAGAGGATCCATATTTTCTTTATCCTGACATTTGCTTTCCTTTGCCAAGTTTTTTGTCACTTTTTCTTGGGTTGTAGAAGGTTTCTTGGAAAGAGGCTTTATTACAGGCCCCTTCCTCAGTTTACTTGGTAGTGGCTTGACAGTAATGTTATCAGAAAATTCAAATTCTAGTTTTGTAGGCTGGCCTTTCAAAGGCCCAACCACTTGCACAGGCTTCTCTTCTACAAGGGGAAGATTTGGTAATTCAGAATCAATCACCTTTTTTTCATCATTGCTCACAAAGTCAGAGTTACAAGCTAGCAAATGTGTTGATGCACTGGCAGACTGGATATCATGTGCTGTATTAGAAACTGGTTCTTCAGGCTGTCCAGAGTCCAAAGATAACTTCCGTTCTTCCATACCAGATACCACTTCATTCATAATAAGATTTTGGGTTACCACATTGCCATTCGACTCATCCTCTAAGGCCGATTCTCTATTTATTTCATTTGTGCTTTTGTCAGTCAATGAAGCAGATCTTATACTGTCACAACTTTTCTCTGAGATTTTTTCAGGGCTTCTAGAAGATTTTATTTCTGGGTACTCTTTAAAGCCTTCAGAAGTAAGTGGAAAAGTATCATTCAATGAGTAATAGTTAATTTCTTCTAAGAGAATTTCAGAGTCAGTTACTACTGGAGGCTTTAACAAACTTTCAACAGACCTCGGAATGTGGGATGAGTTCACGAATGGATCAAAATCCTCCAGACCATCCAGGTCAATATTGTAGGAGCCACTGCTTTTCACTGGCAGCAGATCATCTGGATAAGGGGCAGGATTTGTTTCTTGTCTTTGAGGATCTTCATTCATAGTTTTCCTATCTACTTCCTTGGCTATCTGCTGATTTCTTTCAAAAATAAAAATAAAAAAAATTACAGAGCTTCAAGATTAATTTTTAATTCATTTGAAAGAACTTATTTACAAGCATAATGAACATATTTGCCCAAATCTCCACTTGGCATAGAGATTTAACCTAGACTACAATACTACTCAGAAATAGTATTTATAGGTAATGTCACCAGATGCTAGGCACTGACTTCATTTGCTGATCTGTTTTGGAGCCAGACATTCAGCTAGTTCTACTTGTAATTTTCTCTCCCATTAAGCCCAAATTTCTCCATCTCATCCACCTTTGATGGAGGAAGCTAAAGTTAAAACAGACTCCGATTATCAACAGAAGAATCAGCAAGCTAACAAAGGTTTGGAGAAGAATATATTCACATATGTATGCCGGGGCAGAAACAAGGTAGGGGAAGAAGAGAAATAGAAGTGGGAATATGAAACTGAAACAGGAAACAGCTTGAGGACAGAGATATAACTGTAAAATGAGACTACGGAATTGTTAGCAGAACAATGCAGAAGTGTAATTTGCAGGGAAAAACTGAAGGCTCCCTTCACTCCACCCAAATATATAATTCCTGGCTGTTTTCTACTAGCAAAGAGTTTCTGTATTATGAGCTTTGGAACTAAGTCAACTGTGAGACATCATAATATATCAACCACATCGATATCCAATCAAGTTACGATGTTGCAATCAAGAAAAAGTTGTCACCCCACCTCCATTACCCCTACACATCTAGCCAAGAGAACTTGAAATCAGATCATAATGGCTTGGCCAAAACTTACTTTTCATATCTTGATGTAGGAGGGTGAGAATTGTTTAAGTCATCTGCACAATCATCCAGAGTAAAAGAGTTCTCAAGTTTACCTGTCATGGTTGGGCTTAAAATTCTATTTGTCTGTGGATCCCGCAAAGGAGTTTGAAAAGTTACCTGTTTATAAAGAAAGGAAAGAGAGAGAAAGAGAGTTAACTCTTAAATAATTCAAGGCCTTCAACAATAGTGTCGGCATTATTCCTGTTTCTCTCATTAGAAAAGAGTAGGCCCCCAAAAAGGAACATGGAAGACAGTGGTTTTAAACACAAAAACAAAACACACTTACTTTCATAGCTTTTGCTATATTTTTTGGTGGCACATTTTCTTTCTGGGATGTACGAAAAACTGATGATCTTCCTGTTAGCTCCGGTGGTGAAAACAGGAAGTCACAAGTTTCTGCAGTTATATCACCACTAACATTTTCGTCATTTAAGATCTGCAGACTCATTCTGGAAAAGCAAACCATCCACATAACAATGTAAGGAGTCGTCACAGAAACAGCCGGTCTTTCAGATAATCTTAACAGGAATAGAATGGGTCAGTTTAACCATACAAACTTGACTGCTAACGTAATTCAGAGTGCGATATTCTACCTAAGTATAGCAGATATAGTTACACAGTCCAGTAATTAATGCCTTTAGCCTCTATTGCCAAGAAAAGTAGAACTGTAAATTTGCTTTCACATAACTCAGGCTCAATTAACTAATCAACTCATATAAATCACAAAGCTACCTACTCAACTGTACTACGTACCTGGCCTTCAGACTTCAGGTATAACCTCTACAAAGAGGATGGGGGAAACAACTTCTTAGAAGGACTCAACAAATCTGCTTTGGAATGTAAAAGCCACACTCGGTTTTCTAGTTCTCAGGAATCAAGTGACCCAATTTTCAGAGAAGAGAAGAGGTTCTACAAACTATATTTTAGACCTGACCATCTCACTCCACTATTCAAACTCTCCTGGCTGGTTCCCTATTGACCCCATTATAAAATATAAACACCTGTTTGGCTTTGAAAGCTCTTTACCACCTGGCCCCAATCTACCTTTCCAGGCACATTATAAATTACTCCCCTTCCCAAATTCTATAGCCTAGTTAAGTTAACCTTCTTTCTATTCCTCACCCACTACACTCCATCTCCTATGTCAATACCTCAAAAAAAAAAAAACCCTCCCTCCTCACAAAATACTTCACTTCCTTCAAGATGTCAGCTCAGACACCCCCTTCTACCTGAAGCATTTCCTGATCCCTGTAATTATCTACTCCATTCTCTTTATGTTTAATCTGAATATATGTATACATTTTGCCACCTCTGTTAGAAACTAAGCTCTTTTCCAGTAGGGATTATTTTATTTAGTTGTATCCTAAGCACCTGGGATGCAGTGGTCAACAAGTATTTATTAAGTGTCCAACTGGGGAATAACTGAACAAGTTGTGGTATATGATTGTGATACAATACAATTATGCTATAAGAAATGATGAGCTGGATAGTTTCAGAAAAACCTGAACAGATTTGCATGTACTGATGCAAAGTGAAGTAAACAGAACCAGGAGAACACTGAACACAGTAACAGCAATACTGTACGATGATCAACTCTGAATGACTTAGCTATTTTCAGCAATACAAAGATCTAAGACAACTGAAGGACTTATGATGAAAAATGCTATCTACCACCAGAGAAAAAACATGAAGTCTGAACCCAAATCAAAGTATACTTTTTTTTATTTACGCTTTATTTTTCTTGGATTTTTTTTTTGGTCTGTTTTCTTTCACAACATGACTTAGTATGGAAATATGTTTTACATGACTGCACATGTATATAACCCATATCAAATTGCTTGCCCTCTTAGGGAGAGGGAAGGGTTAGGAGGAAGGAAGAGAATTTCAAACTCAAAACTTTAAAAGATGAATGTTAAAAATTGTTTTTACATGTAATTTAAAAATAAAATATTAAAAACTTTTTTGAAAATTAAAAAAATCCATTGCTGAATTTAATACAAGAGAAAGGTGCTCTTAATATTAAAAAAAATTCTTTTGTTAATAAACTCCGTAGAGCATAAAGAAGAAAATGTTAAATGATGCCTGAAAACTATAAACAATGAAGAAATACAATAGATTAAGAGAAGCTTGAGAGTTAGAACTAAGACAGTTAATCCTCTAGTGTGAACAGAGCCTCCTTGGACACAAGGAGAGGTGCTAGAAATGAATCAAGAGATAAAAAGTGAAATTAAGACTGAAACAAGAGTTCTGGAGGAAAAAAATGGGCGACCAGGGTGAGACCTCGTCCTCCCCTCCACATTGTCACTCAATACAAAGGCTCTCGATTAACTTTAAGATTACATGTGAACTCTTCCGTGATCCCTAAAATCTTCCACCTCCCTCCTTTCCAGTCTTACCATACACATTGCTCTCCCAGTCACCTCGGCAATTTTACTATTGCCAAATTTTTTGCAACCCCATTATGAATTTCAACCCACAGTTTAAGAAGCGCTGCCATAGACAACCTAAACACCATATTGCACAAATAAACAAAAAAAAAAATTGTAGGAGGGAATCTGGAAACCAAAAGTAATTAAAAATTGAAAGCAAAAGTCAAAAGGTTAAATCAACATAGCACAAAGAATAAAAGAAACAATTCAAAATTAATCAAATTAATCAAAAATTTTACTGAGACTTGAAAGGAAAAGAAATCATGAGAGAGAGTACCCCTTAAGACTACTGTACACAGGAAATTTCTGGCTTTCTACGTGGTTGCAAGAATTCCAACACAATGAAATAGAAAGTTGTAGCAAATTAGAAGCCAATTCTGTGTTTAATTACTTGATACCAAGCATTTATAGTCTGAATCACTGATCTACATAGAAAGTTTAAACACTTAACAAGAAAACAATATATTGGTTGAGGAGCAAAAGGGTGGTCTTCACTAAACCAGCCACATCAAAGGGGAGTTTATGTTGACTGCCTTTATTATGGCACTCTGGTTTAGTCTCACACATGCGCTAAAGATATGTAAAACAGATCCAAGTGAAGGGAGATTGCTAGGGCATTTGACATCTATATGGAAACCCCATGCTGTCACCAAATAATGTAAGTGTCGAATTGTTTGGGAAGGCGGTTTAAGTTCATTATAGCCTAGCCGCAAATTCATTTTCTTCTCCCCTATATGTAAGGCTTCCAAATTTAAAAGCGCATTAAACCAAAACATCATAATAATCTGCTTTACATGGATGACATTAAATTACATGATTCCCCTGAAAAACATAATAAACAGTTCCCTTCCACTTGTGCCATTTTTCTCTAATCAAAACTTCACTTGTACTTGCTAAGTGTAAAATTTTTAGTGTATAGCAAGGAAAGGTAGAAACAAATCTCTGAGCCTGAACATGGAGATGAAATTGAACCCATGGATTAAGGTAACACTTACAAATACTTTGATCCCCCTCCAAGCAAGACACATCTAGTATAAGCTGTTGTGTGTCCTTCATTCTCCAAGAGGACCATGACATCAGGAAGGTGATGCCATGACCTGCAAGTGAATTGGATTTAAGTGAGGGAGGGCTGTGCAAAGTCACCAGCCTCATTCTCTCCTCCAGAGCCATCTGGGTCCAGTGGCAAGATATAGATCAAGGACAACTGGAGATGGCCCCAGATGCAGTGGGAGACCATGGCCTTTTTAAGCTAAGGTCTTTCCCGGGTCTCAGTTTGACAGAGGCAATGCCCATTCGGTGATTAAGACAAAAGTAAGAAATGAGGCACAGAATGGCTTCTTTTACTTGAATGTTAGTATGGGTAAGGAGGATTTTGTTATTCTTTTTAGATAATAGTTCCAAGATCCTAGATAATATTTCCCACAAATTATGGTTAAAAACAACTTCTATCAAGCAGTCACAAGAGATATAGGGGTGACATAATGTACGCATGCACTATCAGGACCATATTGCTAAAGTTAACCTGTGAGCTTAATGTTGGCAATCGGCCTTCTTTGTCTGTTGCCCTATAAAGCAAATGGGCACTGGTGAGTAAGTGGGGGAACTCATTTTGGGATTTGGTTAATTCATAGAGGAATGCATGTACCTGCCTTGATCGGCAGCCATCAAGGCTTGGGGGAATCTGTGTTTGCCTCAACCAGCCCCCATTGAGCCCACCCCTGCAAGAAATATGATTAGAGAATGCTGGAGGAGTTGGTGCTCCCATTATCAGCAACCCTTTTGGGAAGACTAGACTAGAATAAAGTAAGCTTACTTAACCCCTCCAAAGTTGTCTTCCTGTCTGACCCAAAGTGAACCTATGGTAGAATACCTATTAGTGTTAGGAGCCCTCCTGTGTTCTCCTGCCCAACAAATAGTGTTACCTATGTATTTATCTGTGAAACATTAGTCCAAAAAAAAAAACCCATATATCATCTATCTACATATACATACAGATGTAGATAGATAAGATAGATAGATACAGATAGAATAAAGATAGATATCAATCTGGGAAGGGAAGACCCTCAGGGTTTCTAGCCAAAACAGAAACAATTGCTATTTACATTCACTCCGAGCAATCAGGACCCAAATAATGACAGGGCATGGGCTTCGTTCTATTGAGGTATCCAGACTTAAGAGATCAAAGAAGATTTGATCAATTCAATCAATCAACATTTATTAAGCATCTAATGTATGCAGGGTACAGTGTTAAGTGCTAGGGATACCAAAAAAAACCCCCAAAAAACAAAAGGCAAAAGATAGTCCCTGCCCTCAAGGAGTTTACAATCTAACGGAAAGGACAACATGCATACAAATATACACAAAGCAAGCTATATACAGGACAAATAGGAAATAGGATTTTCACTAGAGAAATGCAAATCAAAACAACTCTGAGGTACCACATCACACCTATCAGATTGGCTAACATGACAAAACAGGAAAATGGTAAATGTTGGAGATGTGGGAAAACTGGAACACTAACGCGTTGTTGGTGGAGTTGTGAACTGATCCAACCATTCTGGAGAGCAATTTGGAACTATGCCCAAAGGGCTTCAAAAACGTGCATATTCTTTGACCCAGAAATACTACTGCTAGGTCTGTATCCCAAAGAGATTATAAAAATGGGAAAAAGACCCACATGTGCAAAAATATTTATAGCAGCTCTTTTTGTGGTGGTAAAGAATTGGAAATTGAGAGGATGCCCATCAATTGGAGAATGGCTGAACAAGTTGTGGTACATGAATGTGATGGAGTACTATTGTACTATAAGAAATGATGAGCAAGCAGACTTCAGAAAAACCTGGAAAGACCTATATGAAGTGATGCTGAGTGAAGCGAGAAGAACCAGAAAAACATTATACTCAGTAACAGCCACGTTGTTCAATCACTAATTTTGATAGACTTATCTCTTCTTAGCAATGCAAGGATCTAAGACAACACCAAAAGACTCATGATGGAAAATGCTGTCCACATCCAGAAAAAGAACTATAGAGTCTGAATACAGATTTGAAGCATACTATTTTCCCTCTTTTTTTGTTGCTGTTGTTTTGTTTCTTCTTTCTTTCTTGTGGTTCCTCCTATTGGTTCTAATTCTTCTTTACATGACTAATGTGAACATGTTTAATAGGAATGTCTATGCAGAGCCTATATCAGATTGCAAGCCATCTTGGTGGGGGAATGGGGGGCAGCATTTAAAACTCAAAACTTATGGAGCAGCTAGCGATGTCTGCAGGAGCTGAGCTCAAATCCAGCCTCAGACATACAATACTTACTAGCTCTGTGACTTGGGGCAAATTACAATTGCCTCACAAAAAAAACTCAAAAGCTTATGGAAGTGAATGTTGAAAACTAAAAATTAATTAATTAAAAAAAGGTGGGATTTTAGTTGGAACTTAAAGGAAGCTGGGGAGGTCAGTAGTTGGAGCAGAGAAGGGAAAATGTTCCAAGAATGGGGCACAGCCAGAGAAACTGGCCTGAGCTAAGAGATGGAGTGTTAGCAAGGTAGTCAGTAAGGTATAAAAAGACTAGGGCATGAAGGGCTTACTTTGAACGTCAAACAGAACATTTTGTATTTCCTCCTGGAGGCAACAGGGAACCATGGAGTTAAATGAGTAGGGAGATGACATGATAATACATAACGCAGCATGCTGCACGCTACAAAAATTTATCTCCTGCCACATGCTTAGCAAGACAAGACCTGGGGTTGAACTATATATCAGAATCTCACAATCTTTTCATGATCTGACAAATGACAAATCCTTGTACTACAAAACAGTGGCCTCAAAAACTTGAGGGCTCAACCAATAAACTATACTGGAACCACAGCCTTTTCATAGACCAAACCATTGACCACAATCACAGATACATTACACTGATCCATAAAAAACTTGAAAAGGTATCACCATGACTAAATCAATCAAGTATGTTAAGTGTGTAATCTGTGCCAAGCACTGTGATAGGTGTTAGGGATATAAAAAACAAAAATGAAATGGCTCCTGTCCCGAAAGACCTTATATGCTGGCAGAGGAGGTAACACACACGTTAGGGAAGATACAGAGTAACCTTAGCCTTGGAAGAGAAGTCAAGATTAGCAGCTGGTGGTTGAGGAATTGGGAGAGGGGAGGAAGAGGTGGAAATGGAGGAGGGCAGGGCATGGAGACCAAGAAACTTCCTAAAAAAAAAGTAACTTTTGATCTGGGTCTTGGAGAAAACAAGGGACTCTCAATAAGCCAAGGTCAAAAGAATACCATTACAGCCATAGGAGAAAGAGATCTTAGTTAGAAAAGGTACCTACTAACAGATAAACACAATCTCAAAGCCTCAGTTTCCTTCTCTGTAAAATGAGGATGTATCGTTGTCCTACTTACCTAACAAGGTCGTTGTGAGAAAAATATCCCGCAAACTCTAAAGCACTAGAGATTAGAGAAAGGAAGTGATTTGTTCATGGTCACACAAATTAAGTGGCAGAGCTGGGACTCTAAAAAAAAATTATTTTATCCAAATCTTACTGATTCAACCTTTAAAACATGTCTTGCATCAATTTCTTTCTCTCCAGGTCTCTCTCTCACCTGGACCAGCCTAATTGGTCTTCCTGCTCCCAGGCTCTCCTCTCTCCAATCCATTCTCTATGCAAGTGCAAAAATCATATTACTATGACAGATCTAATCATGTCCCTTTCCTGCTCAAAATCTCTAGTGACTTCTCACTGACTCTGAAATAAAACATATGCTCCACAGCGTAGCCTTTAAGGCCCTCTATAATCTGACTCCAACTTACCTTTCCAGGCTTTTTTTCCCCATATTATTTCCCTTTGTGCATTTCCAACCAAATTGAACCACTAACTATCCACAACTCAACACTCCAACTGCCCATGCCTAGGATGCACTCCCTTCAACTCTGCATCTCAGAATTTTGACCTTCATTCAATGATCAGCTCAGCTACTGCTCTGGGAATGTGTCGGTGCTCTTTAAATAACCATTTAGAAAGAGTAATAGCTAACATTTATACAGCTCCTACTATATGCCAGGCACTGTGCTAAACACTTTACAAATATTATCTCATTGGATCCTCACAACTCTGGATGTAGATGCTATTATTATCCCCATTTTACAGATGAGAATCTGAGGGGAAAAGAGGTTAAATGACTTGCCCAGTCACACAAGCTAGCAAGTATCAAAGGATGGATTTGAAACCAAATCTTCCTGACTCCCAAAGCACCTTTCTCATCATGCCCACGAGGAAGATCACCCTTGTGACAACCAGCACTAGGGCTTCAAAGATGTGTGTTTGTGCTCATAAAAGCAAATCTTCTGTTAATTGTATACCCACATATCTTGAGCCCCCATCTCAGTGTGAAACTTGGGTTCCTAAAGGCATCTTCGATCTAGATACTCAGTTATTACCATACTAATAGAAACCAAAGCAAGATAGAGCATAAAACCAGTAAATGGATTTAGCTGAAGGAAAAAAAAAAAGACACTGACTTTCTTGCTATTTCGGGCTCAAGGCACGCCTGGAATTCTGTTCCTCTGCATTTTCACCTTCTGGCCTCCCTAGTTTCCCTTCAAACCTCAGCTAAGGACCCATCTTCTGCAAGAAGCATTTCCCGATACTTCTTAATTCTGATGCCTTTCCTCTGAGACTGTCCCCAATTTATCCTGACTACATCTTGTTTGCATATTCTCTCCTCATTATACTGTGAGCTCCTAGAGAACATGGACTGGTTTTTTTGTTTCTATTTTTTTTGTTTTTTGCCTTACTCTGTATCCCCAGCGCCTAGCCCGGTATCTGGCACGTGGTAGGTGTTTAATAAATGTCAGCTGACTGACAGAAAAGGAAACATTGGAAAACATTATCAGCAATCACTTCCCAAATGAGTGTATTCCCACTCTCCTTCTCTAACCTCTCCCAGAAAAGAGAAGAAAACAAAAGCTTTCCAAAACAGACCTAGCAAAGGAGGCCAAAATCACGTGGAAACAGGATGAAATGCCCATCGTCCCGTCGGGCAGAAGTCTTTCTCCAGGAGTTCACAAAAAGTAAGTTTACATCCTAATACTTTTATTCAAATACAAAAAGCGGTAATTGCATCCACCTGTGCATCAGTCCGGAGGGCATTTAATATAAAACAATAACAGCAGGATGGCCAGAAAAAACCCTGGACTATTTACATCTGAGCTCAGCTGCAAAGAAAAAAAGAACTATTTTTTTTCCTAGAATAAGAATAGTAATAACTGGTGTTTATATAACGCTTTAAGAGTTGCAAAGTCCTTTACTTACATGTGAGCCTCACAAAAACCCAGGGAGAAGTAGGTACAATTATTATCCCTTTTACCAATCGGGGATGGGGAGAATAAGTATTTATTAAGCACCTATTAAATTCCAGGCACCGAGATAAGGGCTTAACCTTTGCTATCTCAAGTGACTCCCCGCAACAACCCTAAGAGGTAGGTGCTGTTATTGTCATTCCTATTTTGTAGATAAGGAAACTGAGGCAAGGGGAGGTTAAGTGACTTGCCCAAGGTCACAGAGCTAGTAAGTGTCTGAGGCTGCATTTGAACCCAGACTTTTGTGCACTGTGCCACCGAGCTGCCTCTAAATAGGGAAACCGCAGTCTGAGAGGTCAGGGGGGCGCCCAGGAGGACACAGCTGATTAGTGCTAGAAGTGGCACTTGAACTCGGGTCTTGCTGACTCCCAAGTCCTGCTCTCTCTATTCAGGCCGCCTTTGTGAAATACCGGGGTCGGTCGGGGGGGGGGGGGGCCTGGGGTCTATTCCCCCTTCCCACCCCCACCGCTTCCCCCAGCTCCCGGAGACCCCGGACCTCGCCCCCCCCTCCAGAGAGCCGCCGCCTCGGATAACCAACGACCCTGAACCTGGAGGGGCAGGGACAAGGAGGCACGACGCTCCTACCTGCCGGGCTGTGGCTCGTAGGCCACGAGCGCAGACGAGGGAGAAGAAGGGATCCCGGGCGGGGGACGGGGAAGCGCCGGGGCTCAGAGCCTCGGCAAGCCTGACGAGTTCTGTGCAACGGCACCGACTACGCCTCGAAAGCTCCTCCCTGGGCCGCCGAGATTCAAATAAGAACGGTCGGTCCTTTTCAGCCAATCAGAGTGCTGACCAGGAGGCGCGTGCGCGGAGGAGGACACGCGCAGACTCCGTTCCTTGCATGGGTGCGTTAACGGAAGCCCCGCCCCCTGCTCCTGCTCTCCCTCGCAAGCGGGTACCTCCCAGTCTCTAGGAGGAAGTGGTGTTGCCGGGAGCTGATTAAGTTCCGTTTCCGGCCGCTAGGTAAAGCCTGGGAAATGAAGTCTCAATAGTGGGACTTCTCTGTAGAGCACAAAGTCAGACCAATAAGATTTTTGCCATTAAAAAGACGCAGAAAATATAGATATAAAGTATATAAATATAGGTATAGAGTACATAATAAAATATAGGCATAGAGCAGTGGATCAGAGGAATAAGTTAGGTCTGCAAGACACAGTAGTCAATGACCTATTTGATAAACCCAAAGACCCCCAGCTTCTGGGATAAGAATTCACTATTTGACAAAAACTGCTGGGAAAACTGGAAAAGAGTATGGCAGAAACTAGACACAGACCAAAATCTCACACCATATACCAAAATTAAGTCAAAATGGCTTCATGATTTAGATATGAAGACTGATACTATAAGCAAACTGGGAGAGCAAGGAGTAGTTTACCTGTAAGATCTATGGAGAACAGAATTTATGACCAAAGAGCAAACAGAGAACATTATGAAATGCAAAACAGATAATTTTGATTATGTTAAATTGAAAAGTTTTTGCACAAACAAAGCCAATGCAACCAAGATTAGGAGGGAAGCAGAAAAATGGAAAAGAATTTTTACAACCAGTGTGTCTGATAAGGACCTCATTTCTAAAATACATAGAGAACAAAGTCAAATTTATAAGAATACAAGTCATTCCCAATTGATAAATGGTCAAAGGATACGAACAGGCAGTTCTCAGATGAAGAAATTAAAGCCATCTATAGTCACATGAAAAAAATGCTCTAAATCACTATTGATTAGAGAAATGCAAATCAAAACAACTCTGAGGTACCACATCACACCTATCAGACTGGCCACATGACAAAACAGGAAAATGATAAATGTTGAAGAAGATGTAGGAAAATTGGAACATTAATGCATTGTTCGTGGAGTTGTAAAATGATCCAACCATTTTGGAGAGCAATTTGGAACTATGCCCAAAGGGCTATAAAAATGTGCATACCCTTTGACCCAGCAATAGCACCCTAAAACGACCTACATGTACAAAAATATTTATAGCAGCTCTTTTTGTGGTGGCTAAGAATTGGACATTGAGGGGATGCCCATCAATTGGGGAATGGCTGAATAATTTGTGGTATATGAAAGTGATGGAATACTATTGTGCTATAAGAAATACTATTTGTGCTATAAGAACCAATGAACAGGCTGACTTCAGAAAAACCTGGAAAGACTTGTATGGACTGATGCTGAGTGAAGTGAGTAGACCCAGGAGAATGTTATACACAGTAACAGCCACATTGTGTGATGACTAACTTTGATAGACTTAGCCCTCCTCATCAATGCAAGGATCTAAGATATCTCCAAAAGTCTCATGATGGAAAATGCTATCCACATCCAAAGAATGAACTATGGAGTTTGAAGGCAGATCGAAGCATACTATTTGCTATTTTTTTCTTCTGTTTTGTTTTGTTTCCTTTTTCTTGTGGTTGCTCCTATTGGTTCTAATTCTTCCTTATGACAAGACTAATGTGAAAATATGTTTAATAGGAATGTATATATAAAGCCTATATCAGATTGTGCACCGTCTTGAGGAGGGAAGGGGGAAGGAGAGGGAGAAAAATTTAAAACTCAAAAGCTTATGAAAGTGATTGTTGATAAATAAAAATAAATTAATAAAAAAATTTTTAAAAAGAAAAAAATTAAGTTTAAAATAAAAAATTACCCAAAAAAGTTTAAAATAAAAAATTACCAAAAAATTTTTAAAATCTTAATTAAAAAAACAAAAATGTTGCAAAAATATTTTCTGCATGATGAGATGAATGAGCGAAAAGGCATTTATTAGGTGCTTATCTGCCAAGTACTTTGCCAAACACTGGGGAAGCAGGTAAAAAGCAAAGACTGTACCTGCCCTCAAGGAGCTTATAACCCAATAAGGAAGAGATTCTTAACCTTTTTTTTCCCATCACTGATCCCTTTGGCATAATGGTGAAACTTATGAAGCTCTTCTCAGAATAATGTTTTTAAACGCACAAAATAAAATACATAGGCATATGAAGAAATCCAATTATATTGAAATATAGATATCAAAAATTTAAAAAAAAAAAGTTCAAGGACTCCAGGATAAGAAGCCTTGTGATTTCCAAGACTGTATCATTTTTTGTTTCTCATAGAAGTAGCTTTTCACAGGATAAGACAATAAAACCACATATGTCCCATCAGACAAGTCACCACAAGAGGGTGATTCAGATACTGTCATTGGTCAGTGTAGTAAAGAAATTCATAGAATCACAGAAATTTATAGCAGGAAGGGACCTCAGAGAGTTTTTTTGTTGTTCAGTCATTTCAGTCCTGACTCTTCTTGACCCCACTTGGGGTTTTCTTGGCAGATATCCTAGAGTGATTTGCCATTTCCTTCTCTAGGTCATTTTACAGATGAGGAAACTGAGGCAAAAACAGGGTTAAGTGACTTGTCCAGGGTCACACACCTAGTAAGTGTCTGAGGCAGGATTTGAACTTAGGAAGAGTCTTCCTGACTCCAGCCCTAGCACTATGTCCACTGTGCCACCTAGGGGCCCTTTTTACATGTCCTTTAGCCAAACTGGACTACTGAATTTAATATAATGTCATAGTTTTTGTTTCTTTCTTGCTCATGTAACAACACTTGGTTTCTTTCTCTTTTTTCAGCTTTTATTTTTAGCCTTTTGTTTCTATACTACCATTATTTCTCAGTTCACATCCCCAGCACCATTGACTTCTTTTGTAAACGAAACAAACAAAAAAAAACAACAGCTCAGCAAAACCAATCAACACAACAACCAATCATGAACCGTTGCATTCTAGTAATCCCTGAACCTCAGACCAAAATCAGTCATACAACGTATCAGATTTTGGATCTTTCAGTGTCATTTTTATTTATATTGCTGTAGTCACCACATATATCATTCTCTTGCTTCTGCTTATTTCACTATAGACCCCAGTTCATACAAGTGTTCCCAAGTGTCTCTGAATTGATCATATCCAGAAGAGAGGAGATGAGGGTCTGAATTAGGGTGATGAATGGGTGGGTCAAGAGAAGGGGTGGGATGTAAGAGTTATTGTGAAAATAGAACTATCAAGATATGTCTACTGATTGGATCCATGGCCTGAGAGACCTTAAGGAGTTGAGGAGATTGGGAGGTTGGTGCAATTTCAAGTGATATAAGGAAGTTTGGGAAAGGAGAGGGAGTTTTTTTTTTCTTTTTTTGCAGGGAAAGGTGGAGGGGAATAATGAGTTCTAATTTGGACGTGTTGAGTTGAGGATGTCTCCAGGACATTCACTTTGAAATTTCCTATGAGGGATTGGTGATATGGGACTAAAAGCTCGGGAGAGAGCCATTGAGTCATTTGCATAGAGATGGCAGTTAAACCCAGTGCTGCATCCTTTAGGTGGCTTTTTCTCATTGTCCCAACTGGGACAAACAACTGTTTGTGTCCCTCCCAATTACTTTGTATTTATTTATCAAGAGCAAGCACTGCTTGCTGATTGACTTTTTGATTGACTGATACAGCCCTTGCCCACAAGGAATTTATACTATTCTATAGAGAGGATACAATAAATATAGACACAAGTAAAGCTTTGGTTTTTTTTTAAACAAGTTAATTTGAGGAGAGAAAGTGCTAGTAAATAAGGAAATCAGGTGACCCCTATTGAAGCCTTGAAGGAAGGCAAGGATTTGGAGATGCAGAGATGAGAAATAGGACTAGGAGGAATGTGTGTACAAAGGCATGGGGATGGGGGATGTAAGGCCAAGTTTGGGAAATACTTAATAGCCCATTTTAGCTGAAATGAAGTTCCTGAATAGGAATAATATGAAATAAGATTGGAGCAGCTAGGTGGTGCAGTGGATAGAGCACAGGCCCTAGATTTAGGAGGACCTGAGTTCAAATCCGGCCTCAGACACGTAACACTTACTAGCTGTGTGACCCTGGGCAAGTCACTTAACCCCATTGCCCAAATAAATAAATAAGATTGAAAAAGGTAGATGGAGCTGGGTTATGTGAGGCCTTGAATGTTTCTCCTAAAGGCCAGTGGTTCTCAACTTTTTTCTCTCAGGACTCCTTTATGCTTTTTTAAATTATCAAGAACTCTTCCCTCCCCCCAAGAGCTATTGATATTTACCATATTAGAAATTAAAGCACCTTAGTATTATTATTAATATAATTTTAACCTCATTGACCTGAGAACCACAGAGATGAGCAGTGGGGAGCTACAGAAGGTATTCAAGCAGAAAAGTAACATAATCACACCTGTATCTTGGAAATTTTGGCAGCTGATCCATCTTCCCAGTCTTATTTTGACGTCTCTTATCACCCTGCTTTTATTCACGTTGTCCCCAATCCTGTAAAGGACTCCCATGATCTCTATCTCTGTTAGAATCCCTTCCTTCCTCCAAAGTTTAGCTCAGGTATCAAGGCCATCTCCAGCCATCCTGAGTGATATCTGGCCACTGGACCCAGATGGCTCTGGAGGAGAAAGTGAGGCTGGTGACTTTGCATAGCCTTTGCTCACTCAAATCAAAGTCAATTGCAAGTCATGTCATCATCTCCCAGATGTCACAGTCCTGTTGGAGAACAAAGGACAAAACACGCAAGCCCAGGTTTCACTTCCTCCCAAGGTAGAGTACTCCCTCCTCAAATTCCTCACAGCACTGTGCCTGGATGTTTCTTTGCTCTAATCACAATCTGCCTTATAGCAAAGTCAGCTGTGTTTTATTTCCTCAGATAATAAGTTGCTGTCTTGTCTGTCATTGTACCCTCACTACTTAAACAGTACTTTGGACATACCAATTAAAACATTTAAATATGAAGGTACAAAAGAAATTCGAAGTAAATGCTTTGGGGGTGGGGTGGAGGTATAGGAAGGGGGTGCAAAGACCATAGCACTTGTCACTTGAGCAGAGTTTTGAAGCAAAGGAAGAATTCTAAGAGTCAGAAGGGTGGGGGAAGAGCACTGAAGACATGACACACTAGTAGTGCTGGTCATATGGCCAATAACATGTGGAAAGAATGAATGAATGAAAATTCTTTCTATGTTTGATTATCTAGGGGTTTTGGTCATCTAGGGAAAGTGCTGCAACTGTGGAAAGAGTCCTGGATGGGTTCTAATTCCTTCTACCTCGCCCCTTCTACTCTCTACCTCAGTTTCATCTTCTGTAGCACAATAGAGGGTAGATCTCCAAGTATATATACATATACTCAGAAAATGTCAGAGCCTGAAGGAACTTGGAGATCAGCTGGTTCACCCTCTATTGTGTGTGTATATACATTTATATATTTATTTACATATAATTTAGAAATAATGTATGTGTATATACAAATATATGTAAATATGCATAAAGAAGAGGTTGAATATATATGTATGGATGTATTTGTGTGTATATAGAAATACATGTATATATGTACCTGTGCATGTTATATTTGATACATGTCATGTATATAAACATAATAAATTAATAAATAGGATTATAAAATATAAGTATGCTATATAACATATTGATATAATTTTATAGATTTGTACATACTATATAAATACATATATATATATACACATAAGATGACAAACTATAGGAACTATCTGTGTTGGTTGAGCTTTGAATTGGCACGGCTATTCTGGAAAGCAATTTAGAATCATGCATATAAAATGACTTAGATGTTCATACCTTTTGACACGAAGATTCCTCTGCTGGGCAGATACCCAGAGGAGGTCATTGGCAAAAAGAAAAGATTCATATACACCAAAATGATTAGAGCAGCACTTTTTATGGTTACAAGAACTGGAACCAAAATAGATATCTACTGGTTAGGAAAGAGGGAGAAGGAGAAAAAAAAAGAGGGAGGGGAGAAGGGGAGGAGAGAAGAAGGAGGAGAGGAGAAGAGGAGGAGGAGAGAAGGAAGTGATGGGAATCTAGGGGCATAGTCTTAACAGAGAAAACTCTTCCCTTTTAACATCTGATAAAGTGGTAATGAAAATTATCCCATGAGTAGACTGTAGGATGTGACAGAAAGAAGAGACAAAAGAACAATATATGTTTGCAACAATGTAACTAAAGACAATATTGGTATTCAACAAAACTCTGGTCAAATAAATATAAGGGTCAATTTTAGCTCCATATTGTCAAAGTTGAAGGATGTTTCCCATCTGTTATCAATCAACAAAGGGGCAGCTAGGTGGCGCAGTGGATAGAGCACCGTCCCTGGAGTCAGGAGGACACTTGACACTTAACTAGATGTGTGTCCCGGGGCAACTCACTTAACCCCATTGCCTAGCCCAAAAAAAATCAATAAGCTATATTGTGGGATATATATATATATATATACACGTGTGTATATACACACTCTCACTCTCTTTAAAATTGGGGTAGCCCTTTCTTTAAGGCTACCGGATGACGAGGACAGAGAAGGTGAGGTGGCTTGCTGTGGAGGACAGAGCCTTGGATCTAATCAGTCCTGGTTCTGCTCCAGGTGGGACCGTCCCTTAAATATTGGGGCGCTGCTTCCTCCCCTATAGAAGGAGGGGGCTGCTCTTTGAACTGAAAAGACCGTTTCTTCTTTTTTTTTTGAAGGGGTCTTGATGATAAATGTTTGAAGGATGGCGCTCGTCTTTGTATAAGACCATTGGGTGATGTTGGGGTTATCTAACGTGAACAATGGGGCTAGTAGACAGACACCCCACCCCTCCACCCCAAGTGCCGGTTAATAAGTCCAGCACAGAGAGTCAGCGGAGCCAGGCGTCCCAAGGCACAGCCGCGGTGACACCTCGAGCTACACCTCCAGCGGACGCAGCCAGGAGAGAACGAAGAGGAGGACACGTTTTTGGAAACTACATTTCCCAGACGCCCCCGCGGCCGCCGACACCAGGGGAAGGAAGTCCCTGCGGCCCAGGGCGGGGGCGGGGCCGGGCACCGCGGCTGCTCCGGCTTCGTTGGGCCGACGCTCAAGTCGTACCCTCGGCACCCTGCCGGGCTGGGCTGCCTCACTGGGCGGCCTGACGGCGCCCGGCGGGCCAGCATGGACAGCCCTGAGGTGACCTTCACCCTGGCGTACATCGTCTTCTCCGTCTGCTTCGTCTTCACGCCCAACGAGTTCCACTCGGCGGGGCTGACCGTGCAGAACCTGCTGTCCGGCTGGCTGGGCATCGAGGACGTGGCCTTCGTCCAGTACCACCTGCGCAGGACCACAGTCACCATGTTGGTCCACTCGCTGCTGCCGCTGGGTGAGTGAGGCCAGGGGCGGGGGCGGGGGAGGCTAGGGGCGGCAAGACCCTCCGTCCTCCCACGCAGTTTCCTCGTTGGTCCCTGGAGGCCTTCTGGGATGCCCCCCTACCCCAGGGGGGGTCACCCGTCCCCCCAACTCCGGGACCCCGCATTCGCATCCGGGGCCCTGGGCCGGGCAAACCCAGGGGGCGCGGAGAGAGCCCGGGGAGACCCAAGGAAGCCCCTTCCCCAGGGTCAGCCTGAAGGGGCGGGTGCCTGCCAGACGGGCAGTGTGGACTGCTGGGGAGCGCCGGGGGCGCGGGCTCGGAAGCCCTCCAGGGGCTTCTGTGCAGTGGGGAAGAGCCCTCTGGCCAATGTGGCCGGAGGACCCCCAGGGCTATCGAGGGTCCAGCCCACCGAAGGGCTCCCAGCCGAATGGGGTGGGTGGGCTTGAAGGAAGCCGGAGCAGAGGGGGAGGGAGGGGGGCCCTCTCTGCCCTTCCAGCCGTAAATAAATAAACCCTATGAAACATTCAACAAATATTTTTTTAGGCACCTACTTCCGTGCCTTTGTTAACTCTTCCACTTCCAGTGAACCAACATTAATAATGTTACTGTTTTGGGCAAGGCTACTGAGAAGATACAGAGATGAAAAATAACATTATCACAAATCTCTTCCCCTAAAGGAGTTTATCATTGATCTGAGAAGGAAAGAATACAGATATAAAATAAAGGCCACGAAGGCAACAAAACGAAAGACAAACATAATGGACAGTGTTGGTTCCAAATTACCAAACTCCGAATTCCTTTCTGTTTAAAAAAAGAAAAAAAAAAAGCTGTAAACCACAAGTGAATTGTACAGTCAGAATCACTATGTAATGGCTTGACTTGACTGTATTTTTTGTTATTTATTACTGGAAGTGACTTATGTGTCAGAACAAAATATATAAATAAAAATAAAGTCAGTATGTAGATTTCAGGGGGTGGGCTTAACAATCAGCACTAATAATAAGTAGCTTTTGTATAGTACTTAAGGGTTTGCAAAGCTTTGTGAATCTTGTATTATCTGCATGACAACCCTGAGAAGTAGATGCTATTACTATCCTCATTTTATATTGAAGCAAATTAGAGAAGACAGATTAAGAGACTTGCCCATGGTCACAAGGCTAGTACATGTCCGAGGCTGAATTTGAACTCAGATCTTCTTGATTTTAGGTGCAGGGATCTGGCCACTGCACCATAGGTTTGCTTCAGCGTTAGCTCCTTTTTCTTATTTTCATTTCTTTTTTTCAAAAATGTATTATTCTTAACATTGATTTTTTTTTTAAATTTTGAGTTTCAAATTATTTCCTTCCCTCCCACATCTTCCTCATCCATTATGAAGTCAAAAAAATGTGATGTCCATTTTACATGTGGAATCGTGCAAAACATATTTCCATGTTAGCCTCGTTGCAAAACAAAAAGAAAAATAAAATTTCAAAAATTATGCTTCGACTTGCATTCAGACTCCCTCCAGTTCTTTCTCTGGAGGTGGATAGTATTTTTCATCATAAGTCTTTCAGATTGGTTTTGGATCGTTGTATTAATCAAAATCATTCACAATTGATCATCATACAGTATTACTGTTACTGTGTACAAAGTTCTCCTCACTTCACTTTGCATCAGCTCGTGTAAGTCTTCCCAGGTTTTTCTGAAAGCATCCTGCTCGTCATTTCTTAGAGCACAATAGTATTCCATCACAATCACATATCACAGTTTGTTCAGCCATTCCGCAATTGATGGGCATCCCCTCAGTTTCTTATTTTCATTTCTTAGGTGCTTGTTCATTTTGTTGAATATATGTACTTGTCAAGGGAAGTCAAGTCAAAATAAGATTTATATTTTAAAAAAAAAAAGAATCTAAAAGTTACAATATGCCCAGGTTGGAAAAGGATTACCTAGATCTAAAGACAGGCTAGCCTTACTATCTCTAGGAGGGTAAGTGCTATGGTAAGGGAGGGAATTTAATGGTTCAGGATAGAAAGTGTTCCCAACAGCACAATTACTGCCTCCTCCAGAACAATGTACATCAAAAACAAGCATAGCAATTAAAGAAGAAGAGGGAGAAGGAAGGATTGAGCATAGTCTGCCAATGTACTAATTAATAGAGGAATGGGACAGAGGAGGGAGAAAAACTTTTGTCTCCTAGAAGCTGTGCCACCAAGGAGAGGATAAAGAATGAACATGTAAATGTAGAGCCCATAAAAAGGAAGCAATCTCTTGGAGAATAACCTAGATGGGAAAAGAAATGGGGAAGGGGGCAAAGAAAATTAACACTTGGAAAAAGACTCCACAAGTGAAAATTATTCCAATTAAGAGGTTTGATGGGGGCAGGGGAAGGGGGATTAAAGAAGATCTTTGAGAAGCACTCTTAGCTGGGTAGAGTCAAAAATCAAGAAGGGGTTCTGTGAGAAATAACTCATTCGGATTCAGGAGGGATGAAGTTAAAAGCCCAGTTGATTACGCAGTTGCAACTTCGGGTGTCCTGTGGACTAGGACACATTGTGCCAAAGCAGGAGTTCACTATTTATCTCTAATCCCAGCTTGCAAAGTCCCTCCTCTGTTTTCTCATTGATTGAGTACTCCAGGGTGTACAACTTTCCAGTACGCCTGTTACACATCTATTCCTTGACTCCTTCTTCATACATCCCATGTTCAGAAAATGACTTCTTAGTCCCTCTTGGAGGTAGAGAAGTTAATATTTATAAGCCTATTAAGCATGGGCACTCCAAGAAAGTCTCAGCCTTTGTCCTACTTACTAACTTCTATGGGTAAAACAAGATAAGACCACCTTTATTTTATGGAAACAAACATTTTTGTTACATCTCTCAGGTTCAGAGAGAGAGAATGATAAAAGCATAATTTAAAAACTCAGCTCAGGCATCATTTTCCACCACAAGGAAAGTGGTCCCTTCCTCCTCCTATCTTCTATTTGTCTGGTTGTCCCTTTTGCTATGTCACATTCTCCCTTGTACCACACTTCTTTGTTCACGTGTCCTATCCTCTCTGTTAGGTTATAAGTTTCTTAAGGGTAGAGCCTGTGTTCTTTTTCATCTTTGCATCCCCACTCCCCAGCACTGAGCCCAGGGCCTTCCCCATTGTAGATTCTTAATTAATGGTAGTAAAATTGAGTTGGATTTTTATGTAACACTTTATAGACAGACGTGATTCCATTTGATTCTCACAATAAGCCAGTGGATGGGCATTGGGCAGCGCTTCTAGGGTCGGAGACCCACAGTTGAAGAAGTGCTGAAGGGGCCGTGAGTGGACAAAGTTTAAGAAGCCCTGAGTGGACGACCTGGGCTTAAGAGCTGCCAGTGATACTAGCTGTGTGAAGTGGGGTAGGTGGTTGGTGAGGAGGCCACAGTGGAGAGAGCAGAAGAATGTCACAGCATCAGTGTAACCCTGTACTCTTCAAGTAATCTCTCTTCTCCATGCCCTCATCAAGTCTCTAAGACAGAATTACAGGCAAGTGTCACTTACTGCCATGATCAAGAAGCTTCAGGGGCTCCCTGTTGCCTCTAAGATAAAATAGCAGCCCCCCTTCTTGGGCATTTAAAACCCTTTGCACTTTGACTGTGAACCATGTTTCCAAACTTAACACATTACTCTCCTTCATATACACTACAGTGCTACAGTTCAGTCAAAGTCATCTGCTTGCCTTAAATACAGCATGCCATCTGTCATCTCCATTGGGCCTTTGCAAAATCTATCTTCCTTGTTAAACCTATGCTCCCCTTCACCTCGATCCCTAGGTGGGCACTGGAATTGCTAGCACACGTGCACACACACACACACACACACACACCCTTTCCTTGATTCTCTCCTCTATATTACTTTGTATTCGTATTGCTAGTGCTTTTCCCCATATGTGAATGCATTTTGTAGTTACCTACAGGTACATGAGCTCCTAGAGGAAGGAACTGTTTCTTTTTTATCTTTGTATTTCCAGGCACTGGCACAGTTCCTTGTTCCTAGTAGTCACTTGTTGAATTCAGTTCAATTCAGTTCATAAGTTCATAGATTTAGGGCTGCAAGTCTCTTTAGAAGCCAATGAGCTCAGTGGAAAGTAGGCCCAGAGCAGGGAGGAGCACCCAGAGTCCTGTAACTCAAATGAACCTCCTCGGTGACCATGTCTTAGAGCTCCAGTGACCTCCGTCCCACCCTACAGGCTTCCTCAGCCCTCCTTGCTCTTATCTGTCCCCTTCAGTTCTGTGGCCTTGCCCCATGATTAGATCCACACTGCTCTTGCTTCGGGGTGAGGGGTGCCAGTCTGTTCCCCTCTGGCCCTACTCACCATCCTTGTGACTTTGTTTCTCTACAGATTGCCAGTGTGTGTTCTTTTCCTCATTGGTGTGTAAGCGTCTTGTAGGCAGAGACTGTTTTTACTTTTGTGTGTGAATCCCCGGAGCCGTTAGCACAAAGTATGGCCCGTAGTCAGGGCTTTGTACCGGCTTTTTCATTCATTCATTCATTCAAGTGTCTGTTTTGGGATTTGAATCCTGGTCTTGTTCGCTCTGAGTCCAGAACCCTCTCCCCACAACACCATACTGCTACTAGTCTGCGTCATGGAGGTAGCTTCTAAAAGAGGGAGGTCCCAGTGCTGATGAAATTACAGATCCAAACAAAAAAAAAATGAGCCAGGAGAATAGACAGTGTAAGTGTAAGCAGGGATTGTCCTTATTTTATAGATGAAGAAATTGCTGCTCACATAGTAACATCACTTTGGGCAGAGGTCACACAGATACTAAAAAGTCAAATCTCCAGCCAGAACCCGGGGACTCCAATTAAGGGCTCTTTCCACTCCCTTATAACACAGCAGTGGTGCTGGTGATCGCTTATATTCACATCAACAAACCTCTGTCCTTTCTAGGACCTGAAGAAGGGCCTCTTGTTGAAAGGACTCTGAAAATTAAGAACTGCCATAACAAAAAAATCTTCTAAGACCTTTTTTGGTCACTGTGAGCCCCTCTCTCACCTGTACAGATCTTTGATTTAGTAGACCATCTTTAGAATTGATGTGGCCTGTACAAAAATATTTATGGCAGATCTTTTTGTGGTGGGAAAGAATTGGAAATTGAGGGGATACCCATCAATTGGGGAATGGCTGAATAAGTTGTGGTATATGAATGTAATGGAATACTATTGTGCTGTAAGAAATGATGAGCAGGCAGAATTCAGAAAAACCTGGAAAGACTTGTATGGTCTGATGCTGAGTGAAGTGAGCAGAACCAGGAGAACATTGTACACAGTAACAGCCATGTTGTGTGATGACCAACTTTGATAGACTTAGCTCTTCTCAGCAATGCAATGATCTAAGACAATTCCAAAAGATTCATAATGGAAAATGCTATCCATAGCCAGAGAAAGAACTATGGAATTTGAATGCAGATCGAAGCGTCCTGTTTGTTGTTTTTTTTCTTTCTTGTGGTTTTTCCTTTTTGTTCTGATTCTTTCACAACATGACTAATGTGGAAATATGTTTAATGTGATTATACATGTATAGTCTATATCAGATTGCTTGCTGTGGGGGAGAGGAAGGAGGGAGAAAAAAATTTGGAACTTAAAAACTTATAAAAGTGAATGTTGAAAACTATCTTTACATGTAATTGGAAAAAATAAAGTTCTATTAAGTGAGAGAAAACAAAAAAAAAAAGAATTGATACGGCCAAAGCATTTTTTTTTTCCTGGTGAGGCAGTTGAGGTTAAGTGACTTGCCTAGGGTCACACACCTAGTGTCAAGTGTCTCAGGCCGGATTTGAACTCAGGTCCTCCTGACTTCAGGGCCGGTGCTCTATCCACTGCACCACCTAGCTGCCCCTGGCCAAAACATTCTTACAGCTGCCTCCTGATAGCCTCAGTGAACTGCTGACAGCCTGTTGTGATCTGGCCAGGCTTTGCAATCTTCCAAGCTTAAACCTGCTGGAGTATGAACACTGTTCCATAGCCTTCTATGATCCAGGAGCACCTCGGTGTCACATCATCAGGAGGACTTAGAGAAGCCCTAAGGTGGAAAGAGTGCTGGGTTTGGAGCCACATGACCCAGCTTTGAATCCTAGCTCTGCCCTTAATATTGTGTAAGCTTGGGCAAGCCTCCAAACCTCTCTGTGCCTTGGTTTCCCCATCTGCAAAATGGGGGGGGTTGAATTACATGACATCTGTAGTTCTTTCCAACTCTTTATTAATGATCCTATGTCTTTAGTGGAGGATTATCATTATCATCATCATTATTATTGCTGTTATTAATCAAAATAACTAAGTTTGCTCAGAAACACTCATTTGGGCGCCTAATCCTACCGTCCATTAGATTGTGAACTTCTTGAGAAGCAGATAGTACGTCTTCTCCAGTCTTTGATCTCCTTCCACACTCCCTGGAGGCATTTAGTAAATATTTGAATTGAATTATTGAAAGTATTGGGGCCTCCTGCAGAGCCAGAGAGAAAGGAAGTGCACATTTGTGGGTCCTGTACAAGCAGGGGCCTTCCAAGGCCACCAGACACTTTTGCGCCTTGTCTCCTAAGAGCAGAATTTTTGTTTGCTCTTTGCAGGGTACTACCTCGGCATGTGCTTCGCGGCAGCCGAAAAGCGACTGTATTATTTCAACCAGGCCCCCGAAGGCTGGAAGCTGTTCCTTCTACTTTCAGTCTCCTTCCCCACCGTCACCTGCACCATTGCTTACTACTGGTCCCGGAACAGATGGGACCGCCACCCGCTAGCCCGGACTCTGGCGCTCCACGCCCTCCCGCAGTCAGGGTGGCGAGCAGTGGCCTCCTCCATCAACACAGAGTTCCGCCGCATTGACAAGTTTGCCACAGGGGCTCTGGGCGCCCGGGTGATTGTGACCGACACCTGGGTGATGAAGGTGACCACCTATCACATCCATGTGGCGCAGCAGCAGGACGTCCACCTGACGGTGACAGAGTCGCGCCAGCATGAGCTCTCGCCAGACTCCAATCTGCCTGTCCAGTTTCTCACCATCCGAGTGGCCAGCATCAATCCCCTCGTCAAAGCCTTTGACATTCGGTAAGCAAATTTTCTTCCTTGGGGAATTGTAGAGGCTCCACCCCTGACAAGGGCTCACCCAGCCTCCAAGTGGAGATGTGGTGATGGAGAATTAATTCCCTGCTTCCCAAGGCAGCCCTTGTAGGGAACCCTGCAGTCTGCTTCTCCCGTCTCTCTGCAGCTTCCGCTTTGTGCTCTGGGCTCTGGCCTCTGGGGACAAGCCGCACAAATCTAAGCTCTTTCATTTTTCTTAATACGTCTCCATTTTCAGATGAAATCGATCGGGGTGTCAGGTTGAGCTTGGCTCTGATTCAGCCTGCCCGGAAACCAGGAGCAAATTTAGTTTATGGGAAAATCATCGAGGCCCCAAATTGGTTTTGAATTTCTTTTAAAATGACTGGAATTCTTTAGCACTTCCAAAGATTTATGATTCATCTGCAAGGGGCACATTGCACCAGTGTATATCGTGGCACTTTCTCAACTCCAGCCCTTAGCACTGTGCCTGGCACATAGTAGCTATTTCATCAGTGCTAGTTGACTGACTGAATGACACACATACCTGGGGCACTTTGAAAATGCTTTCTCAACAACAACCCAAGAGGTCAGTAGTGTAGGTGTCCTTATCCCCATTTTAAAAAAGGGGAGGAGGAGAAGGAGACTAAGGTTCAGAAAGATTAAATTACCTGCTGGTTGGATTGGCTCTCCATACTTCCCCCTGCACTGTTCTGCCTCCCCTGGGCCTCCTGAATTGTTTTAACCCCAATAACTGATCACCCACTGGCCAGCTTCCTGCTGCTGACTCATCTACAGAACCTTCCTTGATTTTAATGATAATAATAACGTTTTTGTTATTGTTGTTCAATCCTGTCCAACTCTCCATGACCCCATTTGGGGTTTTCTTGGCAAAGATACTGGAGTGGCTTTGCCATTTCCTTCTCCAGCTCATTTTACAGATGAGGAAACTGAGGCAAACAGAGGTGAGTGACTTGCCCAGGGTCACACAGCTAGTAAGTGTCTGAGGCCAGATTTGAATTCAGGTCTTCCTGACTCCAGGCCTGGTGCTCTATCCACTGTGCCACTTAACTGTCCTTTCCACGGTACATTTCAGCAAACACTGCAAATCAGGGTTTGGTTATTGTTTTGTTAATTTTCTGGAACACCTATACTTTGAAAAGGATGGAGAAAATGTTAGTAATGCAGATTAAACCTAAAAGTACATTGTGTAAAGGGCAGCGAGGTGGTGCAGTGGTTAGAGCACTGGCCCTGGATTCAGGAGGACCTGAGTTCAAATTCAGCCTCAGACACATAATACTCACTAGCTCTGTGACTCTGGGCAAGTCATTTAACCCTAACTGCCACCAAAAAAAAAAAAAGTACATCATGTATACTTTCTTTTCCAGAAAGCCAGTTGTTAAATGTTTGCCAACACACCCCCTTTTATAAAGCAGTTTAAAGTCTACAGAGCACAGCAGGCATTTTTTAAGCCCATTTTACAGATGAGGAAACTGAAGGTCAGAGAAATTAAGTAACTTGCCTATAGTCACATGGCTAGTTACCCCTCTCCCATTAGGGCCACCATCCTAAGGAGTGAGAGTGATCTGAGGCAAATGAAACTGTTTAGAAAACAGGCCTGCAGGGCTCTGCAGAGGGAGTAGGACAATGGTAATCGCTCCCTTCCAGGACCCCTGTGGTACCAGTGTGGGCCTTCCTTCCCACGTTTGCAGATTGCAGATTCCACCCACCTGTGTAGACAGGCTTAGGCTTGGTGCCGGGCAGCCTCCTGACGATGGGCCTTTGTGCACCCAGCTGGCTGAGTCCTAAGGCAGCAGGCACATCCTCCATGCCTGGGCCTGTACTCACAGGTTCTGCCAGGCCTTGCCTTCTGCCGGCACGGCTTTTAGAGCCCAGGAGGTGACCACCACACACATCATGGTGAGAAGCATCTGAGGAGCACAGTCGAAGGGAAACTTGGGCAATATTTGTCCTTTATTTGTATCCCCAGTGTTTAGCACAGTACCTGGCACGTAGTAGGTGTTTAATAAATGCTAGTTGACTCAGCAACATTCATTAATTCTTTAGTATTAGTTTGAGGGAGGGCACACACAGACACAGACACACACACACCCACACACACCAGCCATCATGCCATATGGGAGGCTGCAAGGTTCAGTGCAAAGAGCCCTGAATTTGGAATCATGAGACCTGCGTTCAAATCTAGGCTTCCATATTTCCTAGTTCTGTGACTTCTCTAAACTGCAGTGAACTCAGGAAAATAAGCTATAATTATTATTATCATCTAATAGACTGGAGCAGTGTATGATAGATAGCAGCCACATGAGGGGTACAGAGAGCCCTGGCTCCCTGGGAGCTCCAGGAAGGAAAGGAAGGACGAGTTAATTAGCCCTTGCAGGGATGATCTCTTGACAACAGGGCCATTTTTAGGTTTAGTTTTTTGGGGGTTTTTTTTTTGTTGTTGTTTTGTTTTCTTTGGTGAGGCAATTGGGGTTAAGTGACTTGCCCAGCTTCACACAGCTAGTAAGTGTCAAGCGTCTGGTCTGAGATCGGCTTTGAACTCAGGTCCTCCTCACTCCAGGGCTGGTGCTCTATCCACTGTGCCACCTAGCTGCCCCTGTGTTTAGTTTTTTTCCCTGGTGTTCTTGTTGAAGCCCTTAATTGACCACGGCTGTTTTCCCACCTTGCCTGCTGTAGCTGATTCCCTCCCTCTCATTCTGAAAACCGCTGGCCTATCGTCTCAGCCCCTCCCAGCTCAGACAGACACTCTGGAGAGGCAGGAGGCTCAGGCCAGAAGATAGAGGAGCAAACAGTCCTCCCCACTGTGTGCAGCCCTGTGCCGGGTCCTTGGGGAGTCTATAGACCGGAGGAGGCAGCAGCAAACCAGGACCAGCGGGTCAGGTCCACCTGCCTCTCTTTGTACTGGCCAGCCAGCTAAGAGAGGTGTCTCTCAGTGATTATATTCAAAAACGTAAAGACCTTTCTTAGGCTGGGGACAGAAGCTGGGTTTGCCCCCTGGATCACTGTTTGTGGATCTCCACTATCAAGGAGGAGAGAGGAAGTAGAGGGATGGTAAAGGCAGAGAGCGCTCGAGCACCTCCAGGCTCTGTGATTTAGGGTTTCCCCTCCCACCTGCCCAGACCGTGTGCCCCTTTCATGGCTCGCAGAGTCATGTTCCGTTTTCTGCTGCTGGCCCATTCTTCTTTGCCCTGAGGAGCCTCAGTACGCTGCCCGTTCAAGCTGGAGATGGTGTGGGAGAATATGGAGACCCGCATGTTTACTATTTCCCCTTTTGTTGAGTTCTTTGAGTTCAGGGTCTGGTGTTCACTTTTGTGGGTCAGAGGGCAGTTTTATTAGTTTTCCACTTGTTTATTTGCACATACTAATTGTGTACTTAGCATACTGCACAAAACCATGTATTATTCATTTTTTTTAATCTGCAGTAAAACACTGTCCCAGGCATCATGGTACACCATGTGAAACTCCTGGCACATTCAGAAAATTATTGGCTCAGTGCCAGGCCTCCTGGGTCGTCGTGGGGATGAACTTTTCTGCACTTAGTTAACCCAGTCAGATCGTGGCAGGATGGTTGCTTGGTCTGTGGCCTGTAGCCGGTCAAGCTACCAAGCCCTCTCAGCTAGGCAGGGTCTCACAAGACCATTAAAAACCTGGGATTCCCACGACCATGATGAGGCCTCAGAGGGAGCACTCCTAAGCTTCAGGAGGCTAATTAGCCTTGACAAACACAAGGCAAGTATAAGGGTGCTGTGAGATAGAAAAACCAGGCACTCCAAAGGTTCCAAGAGGAGAGAAATCTCCTCACCTCTGGGGGCTCTGAAGGGTTCAGGCTCCAGGTGGTGTTTGAGCTGGGCTGAGCAGAAGGGTGGGATGTGCTCAGTGATCGCTCCAGACACGGGGTGCTGCTCAGCCAAACTCATTTTCACCTTCACTTCTGCTGTTCTCCCACATGGAGAAGGCCTTCCTCCTCTCTCCAGTTCTGCCTGCCAGAATGGGTAGGGCTCACCTCCCAAGAAATGATCCCCTGACACCCCCTGAATTCCTCCAGCACTGACTGACTATGATAGTGCCTCCTGTGTGCCTGGCCTTGTGCTTAAGCACTTTACAAGGATTAACTTGTTTAATTCTCACAACAACCCTGGTGGTAGGTGCAATTGTTATTCCCATTTTGCAGTTGAGGAAATTGAGGCAAACAGGTTAAGTGACTTGCCCAAGGTGACACAGATAGGAAATATCTGAGACTGGATTTGGACTTGGAGCTCTATATCCATTTCACCAAGCTGCCTGTAACTCATTCAGTTCCTTACGTTATTTTCATGTGTCATCTGTCCCTCTAGACTATAAGCTTAGTGAGAGCAGGAATCTTCTGGTTTGTGCCTTTCTTCCCCTGTGCTCCCTAGAATAGGACCCTAAACGTGGCAGATGACAGGATCAGAGACTAACAGGGATCATCTCCTCCAGGGGTTCTTTACCTTTTGGGTGTTGTGGACCCTTCTGGCAGTCTGGTGAAATCCCTGGACCCCTTTTCAGAATCGCAGCTTAAATGCATAAAATAAATTCCACAGGATTCTAAAGAGAATCGACCCTATTGAAATACAGTTAAGAAAATATAAAAAAACACGCACACAAGTTCACAGAGCCAGGTTGATGGTCCTGAACTAATCCAACCCGTACCTAACCTGGAATCCTCTTTACGCCATCCCCAACATGGAGTCATGTAGTTGCTGCTAGGAGCCCTCCTAAGGCAGCACTTCCATTTTGGAGCAGTAGCCATTGTTAGGAGCCAAAATCCACCTCTGCAGCTGGCTCCCAAGTTCTGCCCTCCAGGCCAGACCCAACAAGGCTCATGTTCCTTCTCCATCGTGGCCACCCCTGAGCTTTCTCATCACCAGTGTCAACATCCTCCTTTCCTTCTGTTCACCCTTGAGTGAGGAATCTCGTCTCTCACCCCTCACCACCCATGCCCTCCTAGGAAGCTCAGTTAAGTACCTGTGATCCCAGGGGAGACACTCTAAATACAGACACCACCCTTGCAAACCAGTTCAGCTTTTTCTATAGAAAAATAAAATGCAAAGGAAAAGGGATAAACCTTCACGGGGTAGACTCTTGGCTTTATGGCAGGGAGTCCTAACCCATGGTCCACAAATCCCCCAAAGGGCCCACAGAGAGATTTCACGCGAATCTGAGAAACTGGAGAGGGGAAAAAATGCATCTTTATTTGTGCTTACCTCTAACTGAAATTTAGCATTTCTTTTAGCTACGAATATAGACACTAAAACATTATTCTGAGAAGGCGGCCATAGGTTTCACCATACCACCCAAGGGGTCAGTGACAGAAAAAGTTAAGAGCCCCCACTGTCCCCAGGAACTCTGCCTAGGACATCCCAGCTCTTCTGCCACTGAGTGACCCTCCCAAGCACATGCCTTCCTGATGTGGACTAGTGAGATGTCCCATCGCTGACCAGAATTCTGGCTGCCACAATACTAATAATAACATAGACAGAATCTACTCAAGAGACCAGGATTCCAGTTCCCACTTTGCTAGTAACTTGCTTTAAGGCTCTGAGCAAGGCACATCCTCTCTTGGGGCCTCAATTTTCTCCTTCATAAAATAAGAAGCTTGGACTAAATGGTCTCCAGGGGCCCTACCTTCCCAGCACAGGCATGCTATGTTGTGGCATTCAGTGACTGTAACAGATGCTACACTTAGCAAGACAAATGTGTATATTTGGATACACAGTCCCCCAGGGACCAAGATAGCCAGCCTCATTTTAATTCCCTAACACGGCAGGTAATGTTATGGATGTCATTGTTTTGGCCCCATTCCTAGAAATCTATTACCCTAATCAAGACTGGCTCTGGACTCTGCCATCTGAGTGGGGCTTCTCAGTGAGCCTCTGAGGCTCTTCCTGTTTCCACCTTCATGGTGTGGAGATAGCTAGAATCCCAGAACACTGGAGCTGAAAGGATCTTGGAAACAGAACTGGGGTTGTCAGGGCTGGTACCTTCCTTAGAATGTCAGAGCAGGGAAGGTCTTACAACATAGAACTTGGAATATCAGAGCAAGGAGTGACTTAGAACATAGACCATGGAATGTCAGAGCA